ACTGGTTTCGTGTTTTTTTATCCCATTATCAAGTATAAACACTAACTACAAGTGTAAAAACTAACCAAAATCAGTCGTAAAAATAAAATAACTAGTAGAAATTTGACAAAGGTGTTTGTCATTCATTTCATTAAAGTTTTTTTAACTGTAAAATCGAAAATAATTACTTCAACAAATGTGTTGAAACTGTGCCATTTCAATAAAGGTTTCTTTATAAGGAATTTGTAACTGGAATCATTTATTGTTCAAATGTTTTCTCAATATTTTTGGAATTTTTTACTCAAAGTTATTAAGTAGCTCACGTGCCTTTGAATGTTTTAATAGATTACTATTTTTAGTTTAGCTGAAGTTGTATATGTTGTCATGTGATTTATAATCACTGAGCTGTCACATCTTTGCAAGTATATACATGTTCTCACAGTTGATGAGAGAAATCGGTACCGACATTTCTTACCTATCTTCCTTTTCTTAAGTTTTCTATAATATATATAACTCTGATTGAAATGAAGTAACCTGTATTGTATTTTTTTTGTAGATCCATATTTAGATATAAGAAATAAGTACATTAAATTTCATATATTCTATTTATACATATATAGTATATACATGTTTTCACAGTTGATGAGGGAAATCGTTACCGACATTTCTTACATCTGCCTTTTCTCAAGTTTTCTATAATATATAAGTCTGATTAAAATGAAGTCACATGTATTGTATTTTTTTGAAGATTCATATTTAGATATAAGAAACAAGTGCCTTAAATTTGTTATATTTTATATATAAATGAATAAAAGTAGTGGCAACCAATGTTTTATATAGAATCCTCACCGTAAAGTAGTTGAAAGTACATGTTGTTTGTAAAATCACAAGAAATATAGTTGCAAGTGAATGCAAATGCACTCTTGTAAACATTCCAGAATGAGCAGTTTTTTAGATATTGAGTTTTCCTTAATATATACATTAATATTTTTTATTCACAATGTTAAATATCATCTTGTCCGTTGAATATACCACATGTTGACTAATTCTTACAATTATTCTAAATAACTGATACATTACTACATAGTATAAAATAAAGTGGCTTCCCGCTGTCTGTCCCTATGGATGCTTAGATCTTTAAAACTATGCAACCGATTTTGATGCGGTTTTTTTTAATAGATAAGAGTGATTCAAAAGAGGAAGGTTAATATGTATATAACATGACATAAAATATAACAGATCATTTTAGAGTTTCTAATGTGATGTCGTAAATACAATTTTTTTTTTGTGCTTACATTGCAAACGCTGGCTGAAACCTACGAGATAGGTCAAAAAGATGTACTACAGTATTGTGCACCTTCAAAAGGTCTACAAAAAAGTCCACAAAAAGTATTTTTTATCCTTGAGAAATAATGGCTTATTTACAAAGTGATTTTAAGCAATACAGCATTAATCCTTATCCGATTAAGTACTTTAAATACATTGTGCATATACTATAGATCAATATGGCCCTCTACAGCATGTAATTTACATGAACTTTTTCGAAGATATTATAATAATAATGATAATATATTTTATTGTCATTAAGAATGATTCTTGTGGACAAAGCTTGTGAAAAATGAATATAAATGTAAGTATAGAAATATAAAATGAGAATATAAAAACGCCTACAAAAAACTAAAGTTAGAACATACACTATAGTTCAACGTCGAAATTTTGTATCAACATGGTTGTGTACAGATTTGTTTAAAAATATTATCAACAGTAATATAATAGACATATATATGATATTACATAAATAAACACACCCATTGCATCAGACAATCAAACATTTATATCCAAATAAGAATATACACAAAAATATTATATAACCTAAATTCAAATATGCACATTTTGTCACGTAAATTTATCAGTATACAACTCTTGCAAATTATAATAGGGTCTAAAAGCCAAAAATATTTTTTACTCTCATTCTAAACATTTTGTTGGTCTTATATCTGAGGGCAAGTAATTAAACATATTAACCCCATTGTAATAAATAGAGTTGCTGACCAAATTTGTTGAAGGAATTGGCAATTTCAATGCGGTGGAACAGGTTCTATAAAAATGGCATGAAGCCTCAAATATGGACATATTTTTGTAAATGAGGCAAATCGATTCCAAAATGAACAAAGCAATCATGAGGTTTAATCTTACATATATACCTGATAGCACATTTCTGCAGTACTAATACAGACAGAGTTGCTAATGAATTGCATACTCCCCAAAACGGTATTCCATAAGTTGGATACACTATTTGGATTCCCAAATTTATTGAAGTTACTCTCACTGCATAACATCCAAAAAAAATTTACTCTAAGTTGTTTGATATGTTCAATAAATTTGAGCTTATTGTCAATGTGAATACATACAAATTTAGATTGATTTTCGTTCTTGATCACTAAGTTATCACCAAATGAGGAGCACATCTGAATGATAAAATGTTTGTTTTAGTGATATTGAAGGATAGCAAATTAGCATCACACCACTCCTTGATTTTTTTCATATCAGTAGATATTGCATTGTGTAAATCGTTTTTGTTATTCCACAATATCGTCGTATCATCGGCGAAAAAAATGAAATTTCCAGAAATGCTCAAATTTGCAATGTCATCAACATATAATAAGAATAAGATGAGTCCTTTGTGTGGAACACCACACAAAATTTCCTTTTTTTCTAAAAGTCCTGTTGTTCTTACCATTTGATTCCTTCCTGAAAGGTAAGATTCAAACCATTTGAGCGTCATTTCTCTGCAGCCGTATTGGTGAATTTTTCTTAGCAAAACTTGATTGAGTACCTGAATTTACAGTTCACAATGCGGATGTGCCAATTTAAAAACCGGAGAGTAAATTAAATCGATTTGATCATTTAACAGGTTGCACCCGCAATGTTTATGCTCGTAAATTTCCAAGGATTCTAAATAATTGAGTTTGCAACCCTTCCTTGCATAGTGCAGAATTTCCGTATCGTTTAGATTCAGAAACTTGTGGTTGTATGCCAAAGAATGGTTTGAAAACGTCGAATCATTTTTTAATAGTCTGAAGGACCTTTCATGTTCAGCATACCATTTTTGGAAATTTCGTCCGCATTGTCCCACATAAACACTATTACACTCCGGACACTTAAGCTTATAAACTCCAGATTTTTCCAATTTGTCGACCTAACCTTTGGCATTGAAAAAGAAATGAGATAACCTGGCATGTGGTCTGAATGCTACTTCCACTTTGTTTTTTCGACCTTATCTTTGGCATTGAAAAGGAAATGAGATAACCTGGCATGTGGTCTGAATGCTACTTCCACATTGTTTCTGAAGAAACCTGCGATTATTTCTGTTCTTTTTCTAAAATATGTTAGCGTTACCCATTTATTGATTTCTGGTTGTTTGACCTGAGGATATATTAATCTGTGAGTGAATTTCTGGCTTTGTTTCCTGACTAACTTCTGGATAGTATCTGCGTTGAAACCATTATTATGACCTATCTGTGTAATTGTATCAATTTCCCTAGCTAGATTGTCTGCAGAAAAAGGCAGTGCGAATGCCCTATGCAGTTGTAGGCTGCTAATTTATGACTGTCTGGATGGAAAGAATCGCTTGGGATGGTGTTGTCTGTATAGCTAGGTTTTCTGAAAACATTGAACTCGAATTTATTCTGATTGTGTGTAATGGCCAGGTCTAAGAAATTTATCTGTTTCTCTATCTCTGTTTCGAGTGTAAACTGAATGTTGCTATTGAAATTGTTTATGAATGTCATAAATTGGTTCAGCTGTCGTGTAGTACCTCTGAAACAGGCAAGAATATCGTCTACATATCTGTACCAAAAATGAATATGTTTTTTACCCAGGTCAAGAAATGGTTAACGCTAACATATTTTGGAAAAAGAACAGAAATAATCGCAGATTTCTTCAGAAAAAACAATGTGGAAGTAGCATTCAGACCACATGCCAGGTTATCTCATTTCCTTTTCAATGCCAAAGATAAGGTCGACAAGTAGGAAAAATCTGGAGTTTATAAGCTCAAGTGTCCGGAGTGTAATAGTGTTTATGTGGGACAATGCGGACGAAATTTCCAAAAACGGTATGCTGAACATGAAAGGTCCTTCAGACTAGGAAAAAATGATTCGACGTTTTCAAACCATTCTTTGGCATGCAACCACAAGTTTCCGAATCTAAATGATACAGAAATTCTGCACTATGCAAGGAAGGGTTGCAAACTCAATTATTTAGAATCCTTGGAAATTTACAAGCATAAACACTGCGGGTGCAACTTGTTAAATGATCAAATCGATTTCATTTACTCTCCGGTTTTTAAATTGGCACATCCGCATTGTGAACTGTAAATTCAGGTACTCAATCAAGTACCTGAATGGTATATATTGGCGAATGTAATGAATCATTGTTAGTTTATTGTATTAGTTTGAGAATGTCCATATAGGACGAAACTGCAGTAACGTTAGTTACAATTAAAAGTGGTAAAAAACATAGAAATTTTCATTTCTCTTTTCATTATGATCTCCTACCACGTAGTAACGGCTACATCCATCAATTTATATATTAAAATATTTTCAAATAATTTTATACTTTTCAATAGGAGAAATAAATATAATGATGAAAATAGCAACACAGCCATCTCTGTATCTGTAGAGTAGGGAGGGTGAGTGTAAGCCCACGCACTTAGGCCACATGTGACCCATTGTACATCCTCCCAAAGCAACACAGCCATAGTAATGTTATAATTTTGGGCCCTCTTCACACGTGGTGGTCTTCAAGAATTTGGTGTACCAATATATCTTTTTTTAATTTTGTTTGTCTCATCAAACCTTTTTCTCACTATTTCACTTTCAAATTAAAAGTGTTCGGTAACATAGCAATTGTCACTAAATGAATTTAATAATTTGTTTTAAAAAAAGTCGAAAACCAGTCCATTGTACTATAGTTTGAACTTTTCATTTGCAACTCAATGTTCTAAATAAAACACAGGAACATCATGTTCGCATTAATATAAATAATTATTTTAATAATCAGTAGAGGAAATTCCATATACAAAAATCCAAAAATAAAGATTGTATTGAATTTGATGAATAAAATTTGGAAACCAAAAAACAAATAATGTGCAATTTGAACAAAATCATAAAATTTTTAAGGTACGCTCGCAGTTTAAACAATAACTCCAATAAACATATGAAAAAATTTTTTTTCGCTTAGCAAAAACCTAACAGATAAAATAAGTGATTACTAGTGTGTGTAGTAAACTCTGTAATACAGTGTTTTGGATCTCCAAAGCGAGTACGAATTATCGAATTTCAGCAGATACACTCCTTTGCCTGGATAAGGGTGTGATCCCGCATAAACCTCGCTCTGGCAATCTCTTCGATAAACAGGAACTATCTCGTGCAGTAAAGGTTTTGAAACACCATTGACAGAAATTGATCCGGATTCCAAGTCATTTGTGCGAATTGTTTCATCATCATATACCTCGTCATCTTCTAATTCTTCTAAATCTTCGTCGTCACTCTCTGATATATGTACCGAAACCTCTTCTGTTGTTGGTGTGCCAAATTCAAAGTAGACACCAAAACCTGAAATAAGTTACAAATCATCACACAATCAAGCAAGATGCCATACTTTTAAATTTTTTGTATCTATTTATGTTAAATGTTTTGATGAGAAGATTAAGCTTAAATGTCAAACAATTCTGTTTATATTGCAATAAAACTGTTGGAAATAATGAAGTACCTAAGTGAATTGATTATCCACTAAGTGACCATCAAATTCAAAATCTACAAATAAAACAGTTTATGACAGAGAAGGATACTTCTTTAGATATCTTATGAATGTCCATAAGATATCCATTCCATGTCCATTGAAGCATACCTTATGAATATCCATTTCATGACCAAGAATATCCCGCTGATCATTTTCATTTTGAATATTATCTAACTCAAGAAAAACATGCACATGAATTTTTAAAACAGCTCTACAGAAGAATTATTGAATTTTGTTTATATTATCTTTGAATATCTTATGGAGAATATCCCGATATCCATTTTCATTTTGAATAATGAATTTTCAATATAGGAATGTAGGCTTTCACGACTGGCATCAATGTCTTGGTTGGTTTCCGGGTTTTGCCATGGTCTTCTTTGGTTACAGTCTCCAAATGTTTCAACTGCAATAGTCATCTTCAGCGGCGTGGTCGAAGTACTCTTCTTAACGTATCAAGTTTCAGTTGATACTTATCTTTATTGTAGCTATTTTCTTTTTTCGGAAATTTCACCACATTTTTAATTTTTGTATAAAGATGAAGAAGTAGAAAGCCAAAAAGCTCTTTTCTCAAAAAATAATGTCTCCTAAAAAATATCTCCCCTTTCAATTTGAATTCACATATCTTTTCATTGTATTTATTCCTAACGTGTTTTTTATTTTTTTGATCAAGTTCTCCCCAACTTCAGAATAATAATCTATAAATTGATTAGCTACTACTTGTGATGAACTGTTTGGAACCTTTGGTGTAGTAATGAATATTACTGGAGTTTTTTATCTTTGTTTGATCTTCCTCTTGAAGATGATCACTTGGTGATTGAAAGACGTGTCTAGGTGTTAAAATAACGGTTTGGTATTAGAAAAAAAACTCCAGTAATATTGATAAGCTACTACTTTAGAATCTGCTGTAGTTACATTAGTAGATAATTTGATGCAATGTTATGATTACTTTTATTTTCATTACAATTTTTTCAAGAAAATTCCATAATTCTTTAAATGTTTTCCTATTTTTTCAATTTCAGTTTTGTTGTTTTTTTTTTATACTTCTTATACTCGATTTCAGTTAGTTTATTATTTTTGTTTTTTTGCAACTTATTGTATAGTGCATGATTTTTATTTACATATTTCAATAATCCATGTCTCATCCACTCTTCTTTTTAAAAGTTATTCTTTATTTGCACTTTTTGCTATTTTCATCATTACAATTTTGAAAGACTCATATAACTTCTCATAATCAAAAAAATTGGTACTACTTTTTTGGTACTTTTAGTAGGTTTGAAAGAGCAATTTGAAAAATTGTTGCATAATGATCAATAATAAATGGTAGTAGCCAAAGAAGCCATTGTATGGCGAAACACGTGTTTCGTTTTTGTAAAATCGTTTAGTGAAAATCTCATAATAAAGTGTTTTTTGAATACGTTAGTTATGGATTTTCATTAAGTATTGGCCAAAACCATCATATATCTGGTAGTAGCTAATCGGCTTCCCAAAAACGCTGCCTGGAGTTCATGTCGTGGTATAAAAATTAATGACTTCAACAGAGTGACGCTTCGTTTGGCCACTATAAAAGACGTTGTGATCTAGCCCTTGATGTTAATACGGAAATAACCAAATTTTCGATTATTTTGATTCCATTAACTATTCACTAATATTCTTGACATTTGTTTAGAAAGAACAATAATTACCTATATCATAATGGTCGGTGGCAAATTCCCAGAACAACCGAGATCCATGAGGATGGGTTGGGACCCTTACTGTCACCGTTTCACCATGGCCTACTCTAACAACCCCATCACCTTCTCCTTGTGATACACTTTGCTTGAAAACCTCTATTTCTGATCTCGTCCACATACTTGCTGTTGTAAAACTCTGTTCATCAGAGTCTTCATCTTTCAAGTTATTTGAATCGGAGTTTTCCTGTGTGGGCTGGAGAAAAATTGTAATTACTAACATGTTCAACTAATGAACTATAGCTATTCTCAATTAGTAAATTTGAAATTGACAAAAATGAAGAATTTTATAATTATGAGCGTTTTAAGAGATCCTTCTATATGAGAGATAAGGAGAGAGAAAGTGTAAGATCCTGAATCCGAGAAGGTTTTAAAACTGCGCAAAATGGAGTAGTACTTGATACTAAGAAGTTCCTGACAGTCCTGGAGAGTATGGATTTACTTGTTGAACCAGAACGAAAATCAACTAATTGTTAAGCCATCTACAGGACAAAGTCAAACGGAGAAGAACAAATAGACCATATTAGTGACATTAGAAGGGAAATTTTAATTGCAATTCATCGTTGGATCCAAGTATGGATTTCACTATACACTTTCGAGCACATATTTATAGTATCAAGAGAATTATAGCCAGCTTGGCATTTTTTCTTTAGATAGGGTTGGATATTTCGGAAAGGAGATTCAATAATTAACTTCCATTTCCCAAAATCCGATTAAGGACAATTATAAATGAAGTACAATTACTCTAAACTTTATCTGAATTAAATGGTAAATTTTGTAATTTGCTCATACTTCAACCCACAAACAAAATTATTTATCTTTATTCAAAGTAGACTAAAGTAGTACACTTCATAGATGTGATTCATTACAAAGTTTATCTTTTCAATAAAATTCTCTGGTCTATGAATGAAAAATAGATCACAGCGTGATTCATCTGCAAACAAGTGGATATCTGAAACTCTGGCCTCTGCTGCTATATCATCTATTAAATTAGGAAGAGTAACGGGCCGAGAATACTACCTTGTGGCACTCCACTTCATTTTGTACTTCCTCAGATAGTATAATTTCAATTTACGAAAAGACTGAAGACAATTTCTAAAAAATATGTAAGAACCATCTTACCTTCACTAATATAGAGTATTCTTTCAACACCATTCATCAGATTAAATTGCGCAAAAAATCATATGGAGGACATGAACGTTTAGGAGAGTTTGAAACACTTTGTAACAATCATAACTATGAAACCAATTAGTACAAGAAAAACCAGAACAATTCTAAACAAATGTGCTTGCGTCTGACACTCTGTCTACAAGAAGAATAAAATCTTGTTGACAAACATGTACATATCGTGGGGTTAGTACAACTAGGTATAGTCGTAGTAACCGATATAGTAATCTTAAAGGTGTCGGCGAAGTCAAAGGCCAAAAAAACCAATACAAAGGAATTATGCCGCAAAGAATTAGTCCACGTGGACTGAAGAATTTGCGGTTCGTATTGGATAATTTTTACTAACCGAGTTTTATGATTGGCTGAAGTGTCATAAAATTAAATTTAACGTCATGTTACAGTAACCAACAGAATGTAGCGATGAGTACCGCCGTTGTGTGTGTTATTAAAGGGGAACTGCTGGAAGGTAGGGGGCACTATATCTTTTACTTGAACTATAAGTACAAATTTAACAAAATATAAATAACTACAAAAAAAATCCATTAGGTTAGGTGCACAACATAGTACTATTAGGTAACTGTTGCAGACAGTTTTACAGGGCTACTTAGAATTTTCAAAACTAGACGACAAGATAATCATCAGAGAAAAAATCCATTCTATAAGTTCACATACCTAGTTGTTCAACATATGATTTGTTTATTTTTATGAAATTTGTTATTTTTTTGTGAAATGAAACAATTTTTGCAGTGCATTATTGTCAATACAATAGATCGCAAATAAACAATTCCAACCAATAAATCATTCATTCATTCATTTACGAGTCTGATTTACTAAATTGAATATAAAACATACAAAACATCATTCTTTTATAAAATATTATATTTGAACATTATGTATTTAAATCAACATCAAAAATATTTTGAGTGCTGAAAAAATAAAATTTAGAAAAGGTAGCAAAATGACATTTAATCAAGTCTTCATATTCTTCCAAAATTGTAAAAAACATTAATTTGAGTTTTCCCCAAAACAGCTGATTTGAAATTACCTAGTTGTAGTATTCACCCCATGATATGATAAGTGTAAATATGAAAAAAATAAAATAAAAAATTATAAAAATGTTGATTAAATAAAGACTATGAAAAATTAAAACTAATACAATTAAATGAGTTTTCATGAACTGTAAAATTTAAATAATAGTGTCAACTGAAACGTCAGTTTTAGTTGACACTAAGTACAGTTGACACTAAGTACATTCCTATACTTACTCATTTTCATTCATTCAATCGATATTTGGAAATTTCATTCATTTCTTATGTGAAAATGAATAGATGTATAAAAAAATGATGACATCTTTTACCAGAATTTTCATAAGTTGCGATAGAAATGATAAAATACTCACCCGTTCATCAATATCTTCCTTGTCTGACTGATTGATACTTTTGTTATCTAGAGGTTCTCTCTGAGCAGCTTGAAGTTGTTGCATGTACTGAATGTAATGCTGTTCTTGTAACTGTTTTATCAAATTTCCCTGCTTCTCTGGATCTCCTAAAGTTGTTGAAATCATCTATTTTGTAATATGAGCTTAATTGGGAAGTTAAAAAACAATATATGCCTCTAGCAAGCCTTCTCTTGTGACAGGAAAAGCAAGTGAGTATTTATTATTCCATGCCAGAGAGAAATAAAATTGCTACTCTACATTATTTAAACTTATTGGACTAGTCATAAAAGAGCTGTGATTAGATATAGGGTATGAAAATATATTACCATAATAAATGATCGTAAAAGCAATGGAGATAAAACTATTATTTATAAACATAATTATGGAAAAACAAAATTGTTTTGGGCAAATTAAAACTTGAAATTAACAAATTTGTCTCTAAACTAGAAAAGCTATGTTCTACTGAAAAACATTTCAGAATGTTTCTGAAATTCATAGTATTATATGAATACTTATATTTTGTATCTAGAATATTACTAAACGCATGTGACATTTGATTCCCACATAATTAGGTGAGTGTCGTGTTATTCCTAAACGTGAGAATGATTGATGCATGGGGAAGGCCTTCCAAAAATAAGCCATATTGTATTGCCGATTAAGCCAATCTATAGTACACAAGCATGAGTACATTCCAGGATACTGTTCCTCAAATATTTTTAAGTATGAAACAATGAGTACTTAATTTTGAAGATATCCGGTTAATATGAGCTTCCAGCTGAGTTTAAATATTTTATGGCTTCCATACTTGATAGATTTCCCATTAATATGTGAATATTAATTATAATCAGGTTCAATTTTTTTGGTAGAAAACACATCAAGTAAATTTTTTCATTACAGTAATGAAGGAATTCTCTAGATGCTATACTGCTGTTCTTTACAAGGTGGTCGAATTGATCATCTGATATTATAATTAGTATCATCAGCATACTGTATCAAAAGCATTCTGTACAGTGTGGATTTTTTTAGTGAAACCACCTTGTATGTTGATTAGCACCAGCGTTATATTTGATTCATCAGTTTGGAATGAGAGGTCAATGTTCAATGTTCATTTTCATGTTTCATCGTAAATTATCTAGAAAATGTTGTATTCTTCTAAAATTTGGTTCATAGATACTCCTTTGTAGTAGTCGATTGACGCCCATCATGAATGATTAGTTATTTATTCTGGTATTATCAGTATTTTTCATGTTTTCCTCTGTTACATCATCTGGAACTTTAAAAACAAATAACCAAATCTTTCTTTCTTTTCAACTTCCACCATTTCCAACTTTGTGTTTTTCATTTGTGATGTCTTACCAAGATTAGGACACTTTCAAAATTCTTTTCAGTGTCTATTATTGTTGAATTACTAGATAAGCTTCTTTCATCTGTTGAGTTCATAATTTCATTGCCTTATTTTCAGTTTGGATTTTTATAATTTCAACGACAAGTTTATTCACTGTTACACTTGGTCCACCTTGTATATTGGAATTCCAATTCGTCAGTTTTTGTTGATCTAGCGTTTCTGAACAGAGGTTGGTTGTTTGTTTGAGTTCATTGTGATTGTACTTCATTTGATTGTTCCCTTATTATACTAAATTATACAAAAATCACATTTCTCTGTTCAGTTTGTGTATTCGAATTGAATTGAATCAATTGAATGGAATTGAATCAGATATCATTCACATGACTGTTACACATATTTAACTCCTATGCCCAGATGCTCTTTATCTGAAATTGTCATGTTTTTTTTTCAATCATTTATCCCACGAGTTTGTGTTCTTCTAGTTAAAATATTTCAGTTACAGGTAGGTCCTCATTTTAAGCAGATTCATGCTTACATTTGGGATGTTTTTCATCACTAGTTTATTTCATGCATGTTGGATGAAATATTCCCTGACATTTGGTACACTTAAATTTTTGTTAAAACTTTTCTGTGCAGTATTAAAATGTTTGAATAACAATAACACATCAAAAATTTACTCATTTCTTAAAGCAAAAAGACCCAAAAGTATATAGATTAGGAGTAGAATATCCCTATTAAGTTGTGTGATAAAACAAAAAATATATTTGGTTTTTACTTTTTTTTTGTCATTTAAGTACTGCTTCATGTTTTATTTGCAGTTTATTTTTTATTCAATATTTTTTGACTCAATCGAAGTGAATGAAGGACCTATGTAATATTTTCTTGGTTTTGAGAAAAAAAAGTTTTAAGTTTTGATATTGCGACTTTATATACATAAACATTTGATATTCGAATTATTCACAAGATTATCATATATATCAAATGCTTTCACTTAGGCAATATTCAAACCATAAGATAGAGCTGTATATAACTCCTCCTTCCTTGATGACAACTACAAAAATGTAAAAATGTTACATAACTCCTTCATCCCTTTGATTATGATTGAATTCCAAAAAAATCATACCAGGGTATTGCTGTTCTGAATATTTTCGGAACTGATCAAAGGTCTGTTCATTCAAAGCCTGTTGTATTTGTCGCTTGATAGCTTCTTGCTTGAACATTTGTTCCTCAAGATATTTCTCTTCTTCCATTTTTTTCAGTCTTTCTTCCTCTTCAATTCGTTTTCTTGCCTCCTCTTCTTTACTGAAAAATTATTAGATATACTTGAAGAATTACATGACTGAAGAATTTTATTTTAACTCTGAATCAACTGATTGTACACCTAAAAGACCAATAAACATCTGTCTATCTAGGAGTTTAAAAAATGTTGATCTTTTTATTCTACAAGTAATCTATTGAATTTTTTAAGCAAGATTATAATTATCATGAAGTTAACACATTTGTCTCAATCAAGCATGTGTGGGAAAAGCAACATGTTTTTGTGGACATTTGGTTCAGATGTATACTTTTACTCAAAATATAAATGTACAATATAGTGATATTTGAAAAAAAATTGCTGTTAGGTTCTGGACGATGGTGATGACTAGCAGCTTCATCTTTAGGTTTTGTAATAGATTTTGCGATCTAGTTTATGATTATTTTTTGTTCATCTTTCTATATTTTTAATAAAGTAATGTTGCATGTAAAAGACATTGTTGGACACCCTGTAGAAATGTGAGCATTAAATCAAGAATAATAACCAAAAGTAGGGCATGAACAACTGACTGAGTACGCTTATAGAAACACTACTAAATCTATACATTGAGAACTTTTGACACTAACATTTTTCTGTCCTGTTCTTTCTTCTCTCTTCGATGCGCTTCTATATAGGTAGAAAATAATGGACATTTTCTACTGAGCAATTCCACAAAGCTTGCTCTTGCCTGATCTTTTGATATCTGCCCTAATTTTTGCCAAGATATCCTTCTATCTCGACCGACGACATCCAATGTTCCAAGTGGAGGTAATTTATGTGCAGCCTCTGTGTAAGGACCATTGAGGACTTGTTGGGAAAATGCCACTAATTGCAATTTGTCTTCGTAACTGAAATGCACTGCTTTTCCTTCTTTTTCTAGAAATTAGGAGTTTTCAAGTTGTGATTTCTACAGATAACTCAATTTACCTTTATAGAAATTAAAAGCCAGTTTATAGACTTCTTGGAGTGGAAGACCATATTTGGCTGATTCCTCCAGTACATTGTGTGGACTACTCTCATTATCGTGTTGCGTTGATATATTACGATTTTCTTTTAATACATTGGAAACGTCAGGGCTAGTAGCCATCGTATCGTAAATAATTATGACGTTTGACATGACATGTCATAACATTAAAGTTGTATTCAAGTATATGCCCGATCGAACAGTCAGGGCACTGCATTTGGTGCATTAGTGTTGCTTTTAATTCTATTGAAATCCAGGATTCTCATATACGAGACCTGAATGAAGCCAATGCAAACGATCTCACTCCGAATTTCAAATATAATGCTACAGCTATAGGATCATTTAGGACACGCTCTAAACTTACAGCTTGTGAACTACCCGCTCGATAGGGCGGCAATTATCAGACAGAAAACTGTCGGTCTTGCGAATCATGCTTCAATTTTTAAAATTATACCGTTTTTGGAAACAATCGAAAGTTTCTGTAGTAAATGAAAGTTTGAGTGTTCTTGAAGTGTTTATCAACTAATACTTCTGAGGCTCTTTCCAAGACTGCTTATGGAATTACTTCAGAAAAAGGAAGTTTCATGATCTTATTATTGTTTGTCTTATCGTGACTGCAGTGCTCTATCTTATTCCTTTGTGTCGATTATCTTGCACGCCAGATTGTCTATAGCATTCCAATTTTGTTCTACAGTTTTGGCTTATATATGTGTAAATTCATTTAAATTGAATGGGTAGAGTGAAAATAATACTTATTCACTATTTATACAACACTAACATTTAATGCTAACAGGTGTTTCGACACACTGTCATCTTCTGAGCAAGTTATAACTCAGCTATTAGCATTTATTGTTAGTGTTGTGTAAATTGTGAAGTATCATTTTCACTAAATTGATGAAAGTAGACATTACTACGTGGTAGGAGAAACTTTCTATGTTGTTTTAATACTTTTATTCGTAACTAATGTTGTTAATGCCGTTTCGTCCTTTAAGTACAATTTCAAACAATTACAATAAACTGAAAATAAATCATAATGTTAACCCTTATGTTAGCCTACTGTATAAAGATCCTTAACTAAATTGAGTACCTGAAATTTGTTTACCTGTGACAATGTGAATACTCTAATTTGAAAACTGTTGAGTAAACTGAATCGATTTGATTATTTAGCAGAATACATTCGCAATGCTCATGCTTATGACATTTTAAGGATTCCAAATAATTGAGTTTCCAACCTTGCATAGTGCAGAATTTCCGTATCGTTTAAATTCGGGAACTAGTGGTTGCATTCCAAGGAATGGTTTGAAAACGTCGGATCATTTTTCTTGCCTGAAGGACCTTTCATGTTCAGCGTACCGTTTTGAGAAATTTCGACCACATTGTCCCACATAAACACTATAGTGTTTATCCCACATCAACACTATAGTGTGACATACATAAACACTATAGTGTTTATGTAGGAAAATGTTTATTTATCATTTTTCATATTATTTTCACCTTACCCATTCAGCATTCCGATTTTGTTTGCTCGCCAGCGTTATATTCACAACTGCGTCCGACGTTAGTTGACTGGTGTGTTGTTCTCCAAGGAAACGATATCTTTCCCACCTTATGCACCTGAAAAATGCATGCTCCACCATATTCTCTACCCTTTAGTAGATACAGTTGTCTTCTTCACTCCGGTGGAAACCTTTTCTATAGGCTTGGAAACAAATCGAGCAGGAAGTGAAATTTGAATGAAAGCATGGGTATCTCGAAAACGGTGGGAATTACAGAAGAGAAAAATGAAAGCAAAGTTTACAATTATGGATCCAGGTGGATATAATACACAATTTTGTTATGGATCGCATCATTATGACGCCAAAAAAAACTAGAAAATCCCTCTTTTGAAGATATACAGCAAAAACAAAAGTCCATTGTCTTATATTATCAGTTGACTGAATATTTGTTTGTATTTTGTCCTCGCAACTTTCATTGGGCTATAGTGATATCCTTAATGAAATGTTTTACAGGGTGTTGTATTTCCTGGGTTACTCCAAAAATTGAATTTTTAAATACGGATGTTTTCAGGGCATGTTTAATAATGACATCAAATAGTCATGCCCGCGAAAAAGATAAGAAAGATTGTCGTCGCTTGAGACTGCATAATTTGATAGGGACTATTAGAACCTCTCTAGACTCCCATTCAGCTAGCCTAGTGAGGAATAGAAGCGGTTTATATCTATCATCCCCTGATAATGCTAAATTGGTAGCGAAACACATGTCGAGAGACAGTGTTTTTGTTATAGTGTGAGAAAAGTGTTTTCTTTAAATATCGTTATAATATGAATTATATACTCAGTGTATTGAACATATTACAAGGGGCTCGGTATAACTGGTACCCGTAATCCTCCTCCTGCAGAAAGGCTGGTTGTGAATCTATAAATTAACATGCTGAATCATTAATACATTTCTCCTGTTAATTTGTTGAGAATCACCTACGAACTGAATTTATTCAGTATGTGTAAACAAGATAAAAAATAACTTTTGAGTTGAGATTTATTACGTTTTAATGAAAACGACAACTGACAGCAGACAACGAACCGTTCGCGTGAATTTTGATACCTCCTTTGTTTTTATACCACTTGTATTTGTAACTAACATTACTGCAGTTACGTTCTACATTTGAAAATGTCCTTGTAGGATGAAACAGCAGTAACGTCAGTTACAAATACAAGTGGTATAAAAACATAGGATGTTTTTATTCTCATTTTTCATGATGATCTCTTACACGTAGTAAAAATAAATAATGCACTATACTTGTGGTATAAATATGAACGTTCAATGCCAGAGTTATTTTGCGAAATGCAAATATTCGGATGAACTGGCCTTTACTCCAAATTTTGCGTACCTTGAAAAATCCCTCATGCCCAACACTGCTTTCTTCGCAACATTGCTTTCCATTTTCAGCTTACAGCAGTTTTTCAGTGATAGTAAAATTAATAAAAAAGTGACAGCTTTGAAAATGAAAAAAAATTCGAAACGAATTAAAAATATGAAATAGAACATTATGCTAGCGGTTAAGTTAGGTAATTTGTTATCATTTAAAGCAATAACCATAATTTTCATTAATTTTTGAATTTCGCGCTCGGAATCTTATGTAAAAGACATTTTCATTTCACGTCTACATGTAGTGTGAAATAAAAATTCTATTGGTGGAAAGCCGATTTGAAGAAAGTGAAAGGAAATTACATTACTCCAAAAACGAAATAAAATATTTGGTATGTTTCCTTTCAGACATGTACGAATCTTGATGTTAGCACTGATGGTAACATCTGCTTCAAGTGCTGGCACTCAAAAAAACTCTTCATTTGGTGAAAACCTATCAGCTATGAGGAATTCCAATAAAACCGTGGTTTCACAAGTTGCATTCAAAATTAATACCACTTCTACGACACAAAATAAAACTGTTTCTAAAGACCCACCTAGAATGGGTCGTGAACACATTATAGATAAACCTCACCTGAACAGCACAAGTGTTCCCAAAATACTGGAGAAGTTTAATAATAGTAAAAATACTTCTGAAAAAACGACAAGTCGGAATGAAACTTTAGAGCAAAAACCCTCTAGGGATGCAGTCAAAAATCTAACTGAAACCAATAAATTAGACAGTAGCAGTTTAACGCCTACAAATTCTACAAAACTCAATTCATATACAAAAGATACTGCAATCAATTCAACAAGTATGGTACAAGGAAATAGCAGTACATCGTCTATGTCAACCAACACTAAAATAGATACTAATAATAATCATAGTACTGTTGCAAAGCCAAGGAAGCCAATAGTTACTGAACATGATGATATTCCGAAAGACTTAAAGTCTGAACCTTATCCTCTTGATATTCCTAGTATTGATACAACATTCAAGAAAAAAAGTAAGCAAGCGGATTATGTAATTCCCATAGTTGCCGTTATTTTATCTATTCCATTGGTTACAATAATATTTTCTGTTCTTTTCAAACGCGGCAAGGACTGGTGGCAACATAGAAACTATAAAAGAGTGGATTATTTGATAGAAGGCATGTATCAAAGTTGAACACAGAACGCATGTAAGGCTTGTTAAAATTTGACTATCGTATTTATAGAAAACATAGTTTTGTTAACGTGTAAGTCTCCAAAGTGCCTAGCATCAGATGCAATACTCTTGTGATATTGACGAAAATATAAGTTGTTATATATTTTTATATACCTACCCAGCAATATTAAAATTGTTACTATTTTCATCCTGTGTTTTTCTAATCTTGATGAAAAATGAAATATTACAAGCATTCTACAATTTTCTTTGGAATTATGTTACTTTCTTTATTTTTATTCTATAAGTTGTATGGTAAAATAGATAAAACTATTACCATTCAGAGACATATGTTGAAAACCAATTTATGTGCATGAACTTTCCTGTGATAATTTCAAAGATTAAATTACGAAAAATCATAGATAACTCTAGTATTGCAAACTTCTGAAAGAAATAATAATATTTCCTCTTTTCTATCACAAACTTCAATGTACCTGCAAAGAAAACCAATATCAACTTTCACCTTTGAACTGTCTGTACTAGAAACATTGTAGTAGTGATCCTCTAAGTGCCATGTGCAACGCCTTCAGTGAGATACAATACAAATGTGATATTAATATTTTTGCTGAAGTTCGAAGAGCTTCAAAATATACCCACTGAAAATTTATGTTAACTAGTATTGAGTGCTAGTGTCGCTATACTGTCTGTCTAAAATACTGAGCACCAGCTTGGAAAAACTGGAAACTATGTTATACAAAGTTAGGTATATTAGGAAAACTTGCCTATTCTAAGACTGTAAAATACCCATTTTTTAAGTAGAGCAGTGAAGTAAAAAAGAAGGCATAAATTATATGTACCTAGTAATAAAATTTTGTTTACAATGAAGGCTTGTAACAAACGAGTCGCCATCAAGGTGCGTATTCACCAAAAAAGCGAACAAGAGTGAACGAGCATTCTGCATTAATAATCGTCTGGTGAGTACGGGCTAGCGAGCGAGCGAACGTATGCTTATTCGCGTTCAGAAAAGATCGAGAAGGCGGTACATCAAAAGGTGCTCTCACAAAGTAAATGGATAAACTGCGACTACGAACTTGAAGATATTCGCTCTAGTGTGGACGAGACATCAATATGTCGAGCAAACATACAGGAATGCTCGCTCGTGCTCGCTTTTTTGGTGAATACACACCTTTACAGAAAAGAAAAAACAGAATCTAATTGCGTTTGGCACTTACATTTTACAAAGGGAACTCCTAACAGAGAATGTTATACAGTTTTAGTTCCTTAAAAGTTTTTCTCATTTAATAAACTTCTGAAGAAAATATACCTATATCGTTGGTATTTGACTATAAATTAGAATTTACTTCACTAAGCAGTTGTCAAAAATTTAAACATATCGAGGTGGTTAAATTTCATAAAAACATTTATATTTGCAGATCACGAGGGACAAATTGTATCATTTGCCAACATAATATTCAGTTTCATAATGAAAAATGGCAAGGATCTCAAGCACGTGGATGTAATAAATTTACTTGTGTGCTTCCCAAATGTATTTATTTTAAATAGCTGGTGTATATCCTGAAAGAAAAATTCTTATAGGCAATTACTGGAAGAATCGCAATTCTTAGTTAAAGTACTGCCAGACGATTCAATATAACAGTAACATTTTTGAATAATATGTTGCATAACACGACAATAATTGGTTCTCCATATCTGTTATCAATACTTTTCGACATTTCTTGCCATAACAACGAATAGTTATGAAATGACGTTCTACTTAGATTCCGCAAAAATTCACTGCATTTAAGGCGCCTTGTGTATTCTTTTCTGAAAAATTTGTTTTTAAGCCCTTTCTTTAATTAGGTCCTAATGTACCCGTTGGAAACGATTCTATTATTTTACATGATGGAATCCGCCGATATTTGAAAATCTATAACATATTTAAACACTGTGAAATTTTCACTGAACGGCTTTACAAAAATGCAACCCGTGTTTCGGGCGAAAAAGTCATTTTATGGCGAAACACGTGTTGCATTTTTTGTTAAACTGTATTGTGAAAACCGCACAATAAAGTGTTTTTCGAATACTATCATTTCAGTTGAGTAATAGTTTGTAATTTTCAAATTTCAACTTTTTATCTTTACTGTTCAGCAATGCATTTATGGTTCAGACTAGTACCACTGATGGGACCTATAGCGGGTCGAAACAGCGCTCAATTATTCTTTAAAAAAACCTAAAACTTGTTCGATTATTTTCATATCATCCGCAAGAAATCAGAAATGAAACATTGCTGAAAAAAAAAACGATAACTTGCTAGCTTTCATCTTTTGACTCTGCTCTTTGAGCCATTTGCCAGTTTGCAACCAATAACTTGCTGGATTTTCATTTATATCATTAGCCTGAAATTAAAAATGAAACGTTATCGGTATATTTGCTACCCACAACATCTCTCTCTTTTTAGTCTGTGGTTCAATGCTCTATTCCTAATAGCATAGATTAAATACTGTGCTAATAGCGAATCCCACTCTCCCACTTGGTAATCTCGGTATGTCTTAAGTCACACAGAGTCTGTGCTCAGTTCACCAGCATAGTATGTGGTAGAAAACTATACTGGTGGCATGTGACGTGACACCACAGTCACAACAAATGTAGTTGTTGTGATCTGTGCTCAGGCAGAGAAACCACAAAATTATATTCTGTGCAGAAACTGTCTCTCAGTACGAGGTTACGATCAAAGAGTACACCAACTAATTGGTGTATTCTTGGTCACGGTCAAAGCACAGACACAGTTCAAGGATCAAACAGTAAACAAGTCAGGATCAGGATTATGAATTACGAATCGAAGATCAGAAGCACAGTAGAAAACTAAAGACCTCTGTTGTACAATAAGTACATACAATTTTTGTACAAATTGTTGGTGTCTATGGTTAGAAATTTCAAGAATTTTCATCAGTTTATGAAAATACTTTAAAATTCGTCATATACTCGTGAATTCTACAATACAAATGACCAATACAGTGAACTGTGTTTTTTGTAAAATTATAGCAGGAGATATGCCTGGAGAAATTTTATATCAAGATAGTGATGTTGTTGTGATTGAAGATATCAAACCAGCTGCCAGACATCATTATTTAGCAATACCTAGAGAGCATATAGATAACGTTAACAAATTATCTACATTGGATCACAAAACTCTAGTTGGTAAATTAGTTGAATGTGGAAAAAAATCCATAGGGGAGAATGGAGGAGATTTAAATGATATTCGTATAGGTTTCCACTGCCCTCCATTTAATTCGATTTCCCATTTACATCTCCATATAATTTCACCAGCCTCTCAGATGAATTTCTTCAGCAGACTGGTTTTTAAGCCAAATACTTGGTGGTTTCAGGCAGTCGAAGAAGTTCTGGTGAAGTTATCTAAAGAATGATCAACATTCCACTCACTCCTGAATGCAATTAGCTATACAAAAATAATACCTAGTATATTCCAAACTAAATGGAAATAAACTCATGTGATTACATATGTCTATTGAGAATATCCTTTCTTATTGAAGTTTTTATATTCGAACAAACATGTTACAAGTTCGGACTTCCACTGTCTGAAAAAGGTGAAAGGTTTGAAATGTATGGAAAAACAAATAAAATAAAATTGAATGAAATGTTTATTCATTATTCATAAAATATTAAAAATGACTTGATGGAAATGATCAGATGAGTTACTTGAAGTGAGGAAAAATTAAGCAAAAAGGAATAAGCAATGAGTAAAAAAATTAAAGAAAAGGGAAGAATACTAATTTGTTGAGGAAACAAATTGTTGGGATCTGAAATGAAATTGAATTAATGAATGGGTGAACAAGTTAAATTTGTACAAACAAAAATGAAATAAAAATTTAAAAAATTAAACCAAGTTACTTCCTGGCGTTTGTAGGTCACTTGGAGGCTTTCACTGCTTCCTTCCCTCCTCTCGTTTTCCAGTTCAGTGCAACGCCTCATTGTTCAACATGTTCGTACCTTCATTGAACTTTATCTTGAACCTGTGGATAATTTCAATTTTGAACCACTTAACATTATGTTGGTAAGTCCAAACTTGCTCACGATTTACCGGTTTCTCCTCACTTGGGTATTTTTCTTGTGCTAGTCAATGCAATGATGTTTCCGGAGTAGGTTTTAATGTTGTATTTTGACCCAATTCTTCTTACCTTATCCAACACTTTTCTGACATAAGGATAGGATAGCACTGGTTGTGACGGCTACTTTTTCTAGCAAGGTTATTGTTGTTTTCTAGCCAAAGTCTGTTGTTACAGTCAGAATTCCATAGAAGATATCATAGTATTAAGTAATTCCATTTTCAAATGGGCCTGTCGATGGAAAAACGTTCTTCCATATGTGAAGAATGTCACCCATTGTGCGTGGATCGAGTCCCAACCACACTGCTGTATTGAGTCAGGTCATTCCTGCACTGATGAGAGATAAAACCAGGAAACCGGTCCGTAGGTAATCTACGACGATTGATTTCACTGTGGTCCTGCTGCTGGATGAACGAGACTGCAATACTATCCTCTGTGAGGTATCTTGCATAAATGTCTATCGAGATATTAACCAGGAAAGTAGTTGTTTTCCGGCAGGCATTTACGAGCACCTACTATGAAGGTACGTTGGTAGCAATGAACTTTTCAAGATTCCCTATCGACTTGAAAATGTTTATACAAATTATAGAATACCCGTGTAAAGTCTAGATTTGCAAATGTTCATGAGGTAAAAAAATTTCTGGTTTTTATGTTTACCTAAACAAGTTACAAGTTCTCTTCGTTAGGTTCATTCATACCTTTGTTTATTCAAAATAATGTGTATGTTTAAGAAGTATTGTACTTATCCATATTATTATTATATGATTAAGTAATACTATCTTTTTTTTATGTTTTAATTGTAAAGTTTCTACGGTTATACACCAAAATATGTGTTTTTACATTTCATGTTATGTAAGTAAATTTTATATTGTAAAATTACATACTGGGAAATATTTACAATGCCAGATATCGGAGCTGGAATGTAATGTATTTATAGATATATATAGTGCTGACGAATTTGAAGAAGCTGACTCAAAATCGCCCCTGGCATTAAAAGTAATCCTATTCATGATAATAATTATCAGGTGGACCAGACCAGTTAACTGATGAAGCTACCGTGTAGCGAAATGCGCCTTGAATAAAATTTATTGTACAAGTGATATAATTATTATAACGGGTCGGTGTATTCATAATTTGAAAGTAATAATTACAAATTCTGTTGGATCTATCTCAGGTTCTTCCAACAAAAAAATTGATTTTATTTGGAGAAAAAGAGTTATGAGCTAACCTAAGGACCGTCCTCCAATGTCTACGCTCGTCGTACAATACATCACCTTTTCTCCCAATAAAACTATTCTAGTGTTTTTAAAATCACAAATGTATGAATCATCATCTGTTTCGTCAGGAGGTGATTTCTTCAGCTGCTTTTCTGCAAGTTAGGCTCAGACGTCTTTGTTAGAAAGATGTGAATAACCATTTTTGCAAAATGAAAACAAGTTGAATTTTCATCGATTTTATTTCCACAAATAATTGTTAAAACATCACAATAATATATCACACTAAAGTAACGTATTTCACAATTCAAAACGATAATGATTAATATAAATATGAATTGAATTCATTCAGCTGATTGAATTCTTTAACACAAAGAATAGATCAATTATTATAAATTAAATGCTTATGCACTCTGAAGAATAATTTCAAAGTTATTACTTTCTCCATTTTCTTCAACAAGAATCATATTATTAGAAAGTATCTTTTTTTTTTGTACAACTGTGGTTTGTTTCATAATCCTAAAATAAAATGATCTTCAATGTGTGAAAGCTATTTTACGGTTGTTTTGCCGTGGTCTTGCAGTTTTTATGTCTGCCGTTTCGTCTGCTACTGTGGTAGATATTATCAAAGTTGATGTGGTAACGGTCGCAGTGCTCGAGTTGTTGTTTCCGTCGTTCTGACCGCATAAACTACGATGCTGGTATTAGACTCTGGTTTTATATTATTTTTCGTAGGCGTGGCTTGGCTTCTCTTAATTGGATTACTGCGACTGTTACATCGCTTTTACTAATGTCTACCGCCGTAGCAGACGAAACGTTAGGCATAAAAATCAAATCAGTTTATTCATTCAAAGGACCCATTAGGGTATAGAACATGTCAGGATATAATGTCTTAGTACATGTATATAAATATAGTAAAGACTACGTACGTAACTACAAAACAACAAAAAGAATAGCAATATAAATTATTTGCTTGAAAAGTTACATTAAAAATTCATCAATGTTATAAAATAAATTTTCTTGCAGAAAGCGTTTTATGGAGTTTCGAAATTTGAAGTATGTCCGAATGCCTGGGAGGAATGTTTTTCATTTTATTAACGTAGCAGACAACTTCCATAATTATAAATCTGCAGACCACGGCCAAAAAATCCGAAAAAAAAGCTTTCACACAGTTATCTCCGGCCATAAAAGTTTACAATCTTCAATAGTTTCAAATATATTACACTTATATAAATAAACTTATTATTTATCCATGTTTTTGCCAATGTATGGGAAATGGAATTATTGGTACATTGTGCAAACACTCTCCAGGTAGAGATTTAAAAAAAAAACAATCTCTACTTACACCATATTTGGACAATATGTAAATTATTTTTCCTGTATTTTGTTGAGACGACATTATAAACAATGAATAAAAAACCTATCATCTTCAAAGATTTCAGAAAGTATAAGGGTTAATACGACTATGGAGAAAGTATGTAAATAAAATTTTTATTAATACTTAGTATTGAATAATGAATTATAGCTGGGACTATAGGAATAGGTAGGTTTAGTGTAGGTATATTATACATTTTTTAATTATAATATGAATATTTTTGACAAAAAGTATAACATCAATTATAATATAATTGAAATGAAAAAATTAAATAAACAATCCTAGAGGACTGACTATATGAATACAAGTATCACCCAAGACATGAATCATACTTCATATTCCTCATATCGAGAATGGTTGTAGGTCATAAAATTTATATATTTTAACTTTCAAATATTCATGAGTATAATTATATTTGTAACTGTTCAATGTAGTTATTCAGCCAATTCACCACTCCGATTAAAATTATCAACTTTATTTATAACAGACTGTTGTAATACAGTTGGTCTTCATAGGTAGATATAAGTTTAAGTAAAAATGTAGATAAAGTTATTTTGGATTTATTTGTCAAACTCCATTCATTCATGAAACAATGTTATGCAAACTGGTTTGAACGAATTGAAAAGGACGTTTCAAGAACATAGTGTGTGTCCAAGTTTCCATTAGAAGTTTGAGATGGAGTGGAGTTATCAAAAAATGTTTCCTCTAAAAATCTTTGATACCAATGCATTGGGCTTTTTTGAATTACTTTGCAATATTCCGTTGAAAACGTGGAGTATCAAAGCTAAGTTTTTCAAATGGAATGATGAGATTTATTTCTTTATATATTGAGATTCCGTGAGGAAAGTACTTTTGAAAAATATATTATTATATGAGAATATACAGAGGAGTTCAGAAGTTACGAACGGAAGACAAAATTTTTATTTAACATACGATTTTTTTTGCGAAGCCCTTTTTAAAAATATGAGATTGTATACGTTATAACAGTTTAAAAAAACATCAATTTCAGCACTGAACTCATCCAGCAAAAAATTCAAAAACGAAATTTCAGAGTGAAATATATTCGAGACAAATTAAAAATATCTACAGGGTGATCAATCCTTTCGGGAATATGAAAAGAGGAGATTTTTGTGATGAACATTTATTTGGGAGACTCAATATTGATAACGTTAAAATGGACAAAATAAAAATTATTAAAAATTCTCATAAGGAGATAATCTACAGAAGAGTTTATATTGTCGAATAGGTTTATTCGGAGGTTTATTCGGGATCGGCAGTATAGAAAAATGTCGGGCTCAGATCAGCTAAAATTACAACGTGAAAATCTGTAAAATAACACGTTTTCTTGAAACACAATTAGAAAAATAATTTTTCCAAACATTGAATCCCCAGTAGCTCAAATTACTCTTCAATGATGAAAAAACATAATTATTCAGAATATTTTTTTGATAAAAATAACTTTGTCAATGAAACTGTGTTTGAAATATGCTTTGTCTGATTTTATGGTATAACTCACTCTAACCACTATTATGTAGGTATAAACATGTGCAACTACATATTTTCAGAAAGAAATTTTTACTGGAAAATCGAAATAACAAATAGGATTTTATATTCAAAAAAATCTTGAAAAAATTGTTTTCAATTTACTTCATATTAGAGAAACATTTTTTGGTCAAACTATCAATTGGTAATAGAAAATTTTATTTTGGAACATCACCAAAGTAACAGACATTTCAAATGAGTTTTCAATGAAAATGGGGACAGTTGATAATATTTCAAATAACTTCTGAACTTTTCAGTATATACCCATGCAATTTTTTGTTTTTTAAAAGTACTTTTTGACAGAATCGAAATACGGAAAGCAAGAAATGTCATTCCATTTATAAAAACCAGACTTTGATATGCTACAATTCTATTGGGTACCATGTATATTGGAAAATATTTTAGAAAAGAACAAAATATATTGATATCTAAAAAAATTAATGAAACATTTTTCTATAACTTCTCTCCTTCATCTCAAACTTCAAATGGAAATCGATGTGACACACACTGTATACAGACTGAGAATATATTTGTTTGGATATAGTTGACAATGTTTCTTGGCTAATGTTAGAGATTTGAACTGTAAAGTGTTAACAGATTTTAAATCTATGAGAAATAAGAAAAAGAGTTTCAAGCCAAGCTAGTTTATGATGTTTTGAATGTTAGTAGGTATTCACAAAAAATTGTATTTGATCATGCAGATAACTGTTTGGGAAGTAGGCTGATTTTTTTTTTAGTATAATTTTACCGTGTTGAAGTTATCAAACAATAGTTACCCCAACAATTTTTATGGATTTTTTCATTTTTTTTACCTTTAAAGTCCATCTTTATATTTTTATACTTTTTTTATATATACTTTTCGTTTTTATTATNTCCATCCAATCTTACAAATTTCTGTTGAAAAAAGTATCATGTTTCTTTCTTAATTTGGTGAAATATGGAAGTTGGAAAGAACTACCAGAAATATACAACTGATAAATTATTAAAGAATATACAGAGTGAATAAAAATAAAACAGTAATCTCCTCTTTGGTTTCAAATAATGTAATTTCTACAATACGCTTCTATGATTATTTAAACTATATTTTGGGGCTTTTTCTACTTGACCATATTCAGTCATGAACATTTCAGGACATCAATGAAATTTGAGTAATTGAAGCAATTCTTCTTTAATGAATACAAGAGGGTAATGTAGTAATTCTTGTTTCTGTTGAGCAGTACAATATATGTTACAAACTCTTTACATATTGGTCGTTATAATTAAGAATATTAAGGAGTTTCAGTCTTATTTTCATTCCTCATAATGAGATACCACCAAATATAACCTGAGTTGATGCCACATGATTACTGAAAATTTGAATCGAAGAAACCCACTGAGAAATATCAAAATTGTAGATATAGATTGTTAACAATTCAAATGCTCTAAATAATCCTCAAAGAATGACCAATGTAGTAATTTATTTCGACTCTAAATCTATAAATTTATCAGTTATTTGCTCAATGACAAGCCTACAAGCCCTTTACAAGATAAAGGGAAGAATATAGTGAGACTTACAAAAATTTCACTTAAAAGCACCAGAAATTTGAAAAATAAATACTTTGTATTGAGAAAACACTTTGAATATATGATTAGCGTTTACCAAGTTTGTGTTTGCAAGTGTTATGTTCCGGGAATGCCTCTCTTGGCGGAATGAAGCTCAGCATCATAATATGCCTCACGTAAGCTCTGGTCTGCCGGAAGTTTGTATCTGTACCGTGAATTCGATCAAGTACCCCTAGAACTCCGAAGCAATTATTGAACCTAAAATTGAAAAATATACACTTTTATTATAGACATTTTTAATTACAGATTACTGCCAAAATAGTTTTGGTGTGGCTGTGCGAGCTTCATTCTAGTTGTCCCTTGAGGTCGTTACTTATTATAATAATAATAATAATACTCTTTATTCATGCCAAGAAACATGAAGATTTATAACAGAGATAAAATGTTTATTAAATGAATTTTTGGAATGTTTTCATTAATTTGATGATCATCATTGAACTAAACATTTTTTGGAAGTTTTTGGAAAGTATATGAACCGTTCTTTAGATTTTATATTTTTGGGTAACTTATTGAAAACTTCTAAACAATCTTAAATGGGATTATTCTTTATTTTGGTAGCATGTATTACATTATGATGAAAATAATCGAATATTATATATCAGGAGATTTTTAGACAATTTATATACGAATTTAGCTTTCTCAAATAGTATCAAATGATTCGGTCAATCAGTCTTTTTGTTTAATTCCAAAGATGGAGTATCTGATGGTTTATTAAATATTACTTTTATAACATTATTTATCAAAGGATCTCTCTTTATTTTTTTAAATTTATTGTTTGTATATTATTGTTCAACCAATTTATCAATTCATTTCCATTTCAAGTCATAATAATTTGTTTTCTTTACAAGTTGAGTTTTTTTATTTTTAAATTTCATATATACCACTATTATTTTCTTTTTCAACTAACTCATCAGAATATTTTACCCTGTTTTTATTCCATACTCAATTAATTTTTTTCTCAAAGATTTGTGTTATCCGTTAACACTTTTCAAGAGCTTACATGACAAGTTTTTTGCTTGTAAGGGTTAATTTATCAAACTCATTTTTTAATCACAAACTTTGATTTTACTGGTGAAATGAATGGAAAATATAAAATCCCCTATTTGATATTGCTGGTTCTATTTGGTGAAAGCTGAAAATATATGTATCTGTTACAAAACAATTTTTGATGTTTTTCTTTATAATTCTTGGGGGGGGAAGTAATTACCCCCACACTTGGAATAGGTCATAAAATTTATATATTTTAACTTTCAAAATTATTAAATGAAATCAGTTTGGAGAATTTACATAATTCCAAATAAATACATGGTTCTATTATTCTTGACTGAATTAATGAAGCAGCTGATTCTGATTTTATACAGAGTGAATTTAAGTTTGTTTATATAAGTTCAATGTTGGTTTCAAATATGGTAATTTATGCAAGCCGTTTTTTAAGTTGACCTCACTATTGCTATCTCGGAAACGGTTAGACCTACATGGTCGGTTGAATTGGACAAAACTTTCCTATTTTGAGGAACTAGAATAAAATAATCTCTTTTCAGATGGAAAATATCAGTGATTGTTTTTAAAATATTCACCAAAAACTACAATTGTCGAAATTCGTTTTTCATCTCTAACGTCTCCATTTCGTATGATATAAAAAAGCAGAGGGACTTTCAATACTATTTCATATTTGTTAAAATTCATAACAAATATGAAACAGTGATTGAAAGTTCCTCTGCCTTTTTTTGTATATTTCGAAATGTAAGCGGTAGAGCCAAAAAGCAAAATTCGACAATTCTAGTTTTTGGCAAACATTTGAAAAACAACCACTGAAAAGAGATTAATCTAGTTCCCTAAAATAGGTAACTTTTGTCCAACATAACCGACTTTATAGGTCTTATCAGGTGTACCGCAGGAAAGTATTTTAGGACCCTTGATGTTATCAGTGTTTATTTTTGATTACCTCACTTTCTTATCACATTGTCAAGTACATCTATACGCAGATGATATACAGTTATATTTGTCTTCTCATAACACTAATACAGAGAGTTGTGTGGCCAATATAAACACAGATTTGCACAAAACATTCCTATACTCGGAGAATCATGGACTGAAAATCGATCCAAATAAAACTTTGGCCTTATGCATAGGGTCTCAAAGACAAATAGTAGAAACTCAGTGTAACTTTAGGCTCACTCTCGATAACACAGACATTGACTGGGTAGACATTGCTAAAAATCTTGGTGTAACCATAGATAGCTCTTTGTCTTTCTATGAACATGTGACAAATATTTTCTAAATATCATTCTTCAAACTCAAATCGCTATATGAATTCAAATATCAGTTACAGAAGAAATGAAACTCAGGTTACGACAATTTCTCATCAATATTATAACAATTCTGTTGTTTGTGTATATTTGATAGCACATTGAATTAGTTAAGGTATTTAATTAGTCTGAAAGAAAAATTATTATATGAGGATTTATGGAAATTGATCTTCGATTTACATTCATTAAGCCATTAAATTCTGAAGAGTGCTCTTTTGATTACCCAAATAAACATAATCTGATTCCAATATTGAATAATTTTTTTAACAATATACTATGGCCAACTGAATCAACAGCTTTGAATAATAAATAATCAATAGATGAGTGTACAGGCACATTTTAATAAATAAATTATAATAAAATCAAAACAGTAAAATGTAATATGGAGATCCGAATTGCAACTAGAAAAACATCAGCTACTTTTTCAGTTTGAATTTGTTTTTTTTCAGATTGATTTATAATTTTTCCAAAAGGTCAATATTTTATTGTCAAAATGGTTTAAATTTGCGTTCATCAAAGACGATGAGGTAAGGAACAACGAACAGTATTCTAGATGCTCTAGAATTATTAGATATGATGTATACTGCAGTTGCAGGCGAAACCTCTGACACATAATAACCTGCAGACCACAGTCAACGATCCTTAAAAATTGCTTTGGAACAGTAATCTGTGGGCGTGAAAGTTTTCATTTTTGATCAAAGTATACTCACTTCAAATGATGAAAATCGTGTGCTTCCGGGGATGGAAAAAACGGCAGATGATATCCTGAGTGAGCATTGAGTGTAGATAGTATTGCTAGAGTGAACCACAGCCATGCTGTCGCAACGTGCGATCCCATTATGAATACTCCCAAAAATGGTGGAAGAAGGTTTGAAAAAACATGTTCTATAGGATGACAATAAATTGCTGTTACAGCTATCGGTGCCGTCCATTCATGGTGCTGTTTGTGAATATACTTGTATAAGCAGCGACTATGTAGTAGCCTTAAAAATATAAATAATGTGAAGTTAACATAACAGCCCCTCAACGAATAAAATGTAAGTACTCGAACTGCTAAAATCTATTTTCAGACAATTTTTCACAATGTTCCAATCAAATTTTGTGTGATAATTATAGGAACGGAGTCTACAACAGGAGCCTGCCGCACATTTGTGATTCTATTTAGGAGACTTATAATTCCTAGGATATTCTAACATTACACGGGGACAGCTACAGCTACCTGCGTGACTTCCGAGTCCAGGATATAAATATAAAAAAGGAGTGTTAGTGAGTGTCTAAGGTTATTTGAAGTGCTGTCAGACAGTTTTTGAATATGTGCTTTTCGAGTAAATGGATTGGTGGGGGAAGTCCACAAAATTGCCCTGCGAGATCACCAGACTTAACTTGCCTCGATTTTCTCCTGTGGGATAATTGAAGAATGAGGTTTACAACACTCCTCCAACCACACTGTGAAATATGAAGGAGAGAATAAGGGTTGCTTTTTGAAGAGTGACGCCTCAAATGTTAATAACTGTTGAGCAGTTTTACATAGAGAGAGTGGATCTTTGTATTCAACAGGATGGTCGTCATTTCGATCACCTGCTTTAAATTGAATACATCTGTGTTTCATATTTTATTGTTATTTCAGTTCAATAATAATAAAAATAATTGTATAGTATGTTTAATGAACTACTGTAAGAACATGAATGTAAATGATAACAGATTGAACAGTCAATATTTTCGATGAAGCGAAGCATAAAAACTGTCAATGAGAATTCTGAATAACTTTTTTCGAGATCAATTTCCCTAACACCAAACTGATATTTTTGCACTCGACGCGCGTTTCGCCAACAAAGTTAGCATCCTCAGGAAAAGAAAATTGACACCTAGTCTAGTCTGGTTAGTCCTTATATACTAAAATTTGTTACCTGAGGTTGTATACCTGAAGTCCAAACTATAATATAAGGACTAACCAGACTAGACTAGGTATCAATTTTCTTCTCCTGAGGATGCTAACTTTGTTGGCGAAACGCGCGTCGAGTGCAAAAATATCAGTTTGGTGTTAGGGCAATTGATCTCGAAAAAAGTTATTCAACTTTCACACCAAAGGTTCCAATCTCATCGTTATTAATGAGAATTCTGTGAGCAAATCAAGTAAATGTCGTTTCAAAGCTATCTTGATTCAAATAATGCATCGAAATAAGAACTACTGGAAAAACTGAATATCTGAAAAACTATTTAGGTTAGGTATAGGGAACCCCATAATGAAGAGAAAGATTATTTAATTTTATATTGTTCAGACCAAAAAAATACAAGATTTTGACAGTGACAATGATTTTTGAACATTCTGTATAATATTGAGAAACGGGTTTTATCGAAATCAATCGAGAACGATTATAGTAAGGTACATAGTACCTTTTATGAAATCATATAATTTTTTCCATTATGATACAAAAATACAACTTTGATATGTCACTTTTTTAAGCCACTTTGTAGACTCCAAAATTATTTCTTTCTGCAGCCTTAATCAATATACATATATTGAAATGAAGAAATTCTCGAAAAAATTAATGGTTTGGTTTGCAGGTATCCTGTCGTATTCATCTAATACGATAAATTATAAAAAGCGACTAACCTATGTGAATAATAAAATGAGGCCTCCTCTGTCAGAATATGTACAGCAAGTTCGTACAGTACCCAGTGGAAGGTCGGCAAGTCTCTGAGAGGAGGATACCCTCTCCATTTCATCACCCAATACATAAGCATCGACGATGGAATCCCAACTATCAACTGATTTACCAAAACATACCAAATAACCTGAAAGTAATTCTCATCAACTAGTACAAATTTAAAAATGTTGTTATCATACAGAGTGTTTTTTAATAACATGCTTATGTTTAAAGTTATTTGAGAGCCCATTTTAAGAGAAAAAATTCTTATGACCATTTCTTCGAATATTTGACTTTCGAACTACAGGTATAACAACCAGATATTTTTAGTGAAACGTATTGCACATCTTTTATGAATCAAAAGGCAATTTTGCTATAAAACATAATTTTTTAGTCTTTATTCACTGAATCATTTTGAAGAGAATAATGAGATACGCCACTGCTTTTTTAAAACAATATTGTAAAATTTTCAAAATTACCAAACACACAAGAATTTTTTGGTCATTGTTTCCACAGAAGTTCTGCTACATTCTTAATTGACTCTGAGGCAGATATAACCACGTTAAAAGGCATGGGGTTGGAGATCATCAACAATAGCCGAAGGCAATACAGAAGATTATATAGCTGCAAAAACAAATGTTAGGAAAGACTTTTCTCCCATCCCAAAAAACAAACTACAGTGTGTTGTAGCAGTACTTCACTGTTATGTCCGTTATGTTCTGTGTTTATTTATTAGAGTTGAAATTATAATAAAATTCAGAATTTTATCGTTCTTTTTATAAGTATCTGCCTTTATTTCTTATCATTTCCACAAAAATATACTTATTGTAACTTTGTTGTGGGTAATTTTGTGGGGCAACATTTCAAGAAAAGATAAAAAAAATACATTTTCACACAACAAACTATCTCTAATCTTTGCCGGGTTATCACTCTTTAAAATTGGTAGATGTGACATCTTATTTTCCGTCACTTTGAATTTTTTTATCTTGTTTTCCGTCATTTTGATTGTTTTCCCTTGAACCCATTCATTCGATGTCCATATAATAGTCCACCATCTTTTGGAGTATGACATATTCGATTTAGAGTGACGTCTTGTTATAAGGGGGTTGTGTTGTAAATCATGCCCGAAAGAAAATAACGTCAGCCGCCGCTGGTAGCCATAAACCAAACTTGACGTAGCTGAGAGCGCGGGGATGCCCATTGTTCCGTGCCGCTCGAGAAACAGCGAGAGTCATGCTACCGTTGTCGATGGAACTTCAATTACGATATTCAAACGCTGGCTGCGAGCGTATCGAGATAGTCAAGTACACAGTCAAGTGGACGTTACAGTGCGGTACGCGAAGTGATCTAGTAAGGCGATAGACATTCAAATAATAGTTGAAGTTTCAGTTGAAGTGTTTGTTGTATTAAAGAGAAATAAAGTTATGTTTGATTATTCAGTGTAGTCAATTATTGGTCAACCCACGGGGGAAAACGTAACAGTATTCTTTCCAGGAAACCCTTTCAATTAACATCATGGAGGGCGATCCGCCATATTGGATGTAGCGTGACGTCACTTAGCTAACCATATATTGTCGCCCAAACTAAACGTATATGCAAAACTTGAATTTAGTCTTTAGAGAATGATTGTTTCGAAATTTAGCTGCAAAATTTGACCCGAATAAGCATACATGAATACAAACATTACAAGTTATGTAAAAATTTGTAAAAATATTTTGTAAAGTTCAAAACACCCTGTAGTTTGAAATACCTTGTAGTTTAAAATTTTAAACATAACGTGCATACGATTTTTCTTCCGAATCAGCATGTTATTATAAAACATCCTGCATTGATCCAGAAAGTTGATTAAAAATCAGTAGCTGTTAATAGTAACAATTCACCTTCAAAAGTCGCCTATTATCCACCGGCTCGTTGGTCCCCGGTTGTATTTTGTATCTCCTGATGGCAGCAGGTTTGTTAGTTACGTCCATTAGTGTATAAATGCCTCCAAACAACCAATAAACGCCGAATGTGATGAGAAAAGTTCCATAAACCCACAAATTATATGGATCTTCGCCGATCGTGTCCAAGATTTTGTCCCATTGGGCCTGCCAGAAATCTCCTGATGCACCCCAAAATCTCTGACAGTGCCTAAAAAGTATTAGTTCAAGCTCTGAGTATGAAACTAACTCTATTATTATTTTTTCGAAGGATGAACTGGTCGGGTCTTGTTCCAGAAGCTTCGATACATTCGGGTGAGTAATCATTGGATAATGTGCCCTGAGCAATCGCAATGATCCAATTGTGCGGCCAATATTTCAATAACTAAGGTACCCAATAATCAGAACATCCCTCTTAACAGAGTGGTATGTCTGGATAGAGTCTGTGAAGTCGGAATCGAAAATCTCGATATGTCAACCGGTTTTCATCCTCTTTTCGAACAATATTCGTCTCACCCGGAGCTGAAAACTCCACGACTAATATAATTTTATGTTGGTCGAGGCTTAATAGCTGCAATTTTAGTGAGGATATCTATTAACGGGCTGAAACAGAGCATCAAAAATTCTTTGTGATATTTTTTTAAACGGTAAAAGTGTATTTCTCCAATTTTTTTTTTCAATTTGTATTTTATGTTGTTTATGGAAGTTGATTTCGATTTGTTTAATAATGATCTTTTTTTAAGGACAAAAACAGAAGTACTATGGGAAAATCCTTAAGGCGCTCTAAGAGTGGTGCCTGTGCGAAAGTAGCGATTCACATTGGATTTGAATCGCTGGAGATTAAATTCATTTGGAAAAACGTTATCGGGAAGTTTATTCCGTGAAAGTATCTATCTATCTATTTGTTGGACTGATCTCTATTGAAACAGTTTATTTATCTATATAGTACTATAATTATGAACATTCTCGATTGTATTGAATCTTATGTTGGACAGTTCAAGTATACATAGTTCTCATTTTATTAAATGGTTGAATATATAAAAAAAATATGTCGGTTCCGAAAGGGATAATTTTCAATTATTATCTGGTTCATTTATATATTTTGGGTAGCAGAGCCCCAGACGGGAATCACGTAATTGAATCAAGAGTAAACAGGTGAAGAAAAATAATCATTTTTCAATTGAATAAATAATTCAAGAAAGATTCTACACAGTTACGTTAGCGATTGATCATTTTGTCTACATGATCCAAAGGTCGTGAGTTCGAATCCGCCTTTGACCAGATATTTTACTCGCAAGAATTTATCTAGCTAGATGAACGTGATGAATTGACAGGATGCTTCTTAGGTGGCGTGGAGTGCTATAGACATGCCCTACCCAGAATACGAGCCTAATAGCTTCTTTTTTTTGAAACTAAACTGGCAGGTGTTTACATTCTGTGTTCATTTAGGAGAATTATTGAGATAATTTTTCTACCGATTTATTATTATTTGACGAAAATTCAACTCACCATGTTATAGAATTCCTAGCAGCAGCAAAACAAATCAGCGCAGTGCTTAATACTATCAAAACGCTTCTCAATGAAGACAAAATCGAGGGCTTATGATGGACATTCTGAGAAGGTGAACTGTTTTTTCTTGTAGGAGTTAGTTCGCCGCTTGACGACGATGATTCATCTTCATATTCCGCTGACATAATGATTCCTGCAAAAAAATACATTTATGAACAAACTCTCCACTCTAATTTTTTTTAATTTGGAAATTGATGAAAACGTATTGTAACCCTGTGCTCTCTTTAAGAAGTGTCTCATGAAATGGACAATTTTATTCAGAGAAACGGTAATAAAAATTAAAACAATAATAATAATCTCTAATGCAATTATCACAACTTAGTATTTCAACAGAAAAATCTGTTCAAAATCTGTTTTTCCGTTAATCCCGCCCCCTACGAGTAATAACTCTCAAAAGTCGAAACTTGTGCGAGCTAGGTACTAACGAGGTCTTACCTTTTAACGTGTGATTCCTAACACGGGTTGGGAATCTATTGATTAGCTATCGCAGCAACTTGCAGGGTTATTGATTCCACGTCGCTCTCCGCGAAATATTCAATAACCAGATGGAAGTCTCTGGAGTTCTCTCCACCTAAATCCTTTTTCAACCTTGACTACTTCTCTGTCAGTACCTACCCACGCCATTTTATACTCGAATAACGATAGGCAGCTACGTTTCCCGTTGGTTGTTAGGGCCGTATATGCCCACCTGGAGGCAATATATTGGTTGTTTCTAAAGTTTTATCCGTTTTTATGAGTCTACTTATTTAATTTAATCGAAATAAGCGGCATTTTAATCAGTGCACCTTTGCCAACGTAACAACAGTTGAATAATTTCGAGAGCATTACAATTTCGTGCTCGGGATTCGATGAAGTCGACGGAGGCCGTTTTTGACTGATCCTACCGCTAAGAAAGTTATCGAAGTGTTGAAAAGATGAAAAGATGGACCTCTTCTGTTGACTAGTGCTGCTGAAGCAATTTTTGGTACATTTCGTCGATTTCCTCACAATAGGACTCTGTTGTAGAAATTTATAGTAAATTACACCAGCCGCTGACCATCATACAGTAACCATGGTCTTATTTGATGGATTTTCGCCTTTGGGGGGAGTGCCTGGGTAGCTCATCGGTGCCCATCCACTGTCCTGAACGTGTCCTGTTGTAGACGTAGATGATCCACAATCCGATCCAAAAAAGGATCGTTTTCGTTGTGCAAAAGCGAAGGACATACCTCGAAACATGATACCCACTTTTCGAGCTTTTTGACCTTTCCAATACGTTTTTAACCATCAAAAACCGCTATACAATAGCTTCCTCAAGCGCTTGAGGAAGCTAAACACGTGTCATTTTAGTAAAACCCTTCATACAATGAACTGTTTTAATGAGTTTTAATATGGATTTTCATCAAGTATCGGCTAGTTCTACTCAATTATTGGTCCTGGATGTTTCGTCCGTATCTGCGAAGGGTATCAAAAACTAAAGCATGTCAATTAGTCTTTCATTGGCTACTAGACGAATTAGTATTTGTAACAGTTACTAATAGTCCATAGTCAGAGCGATGTTATGTGAACCAAATGGTACTTGATTAATAGATTAATTTGTATACATTAGAATTATTTAAAACTAGCATTGCTTACCAATTATATGAGTACTATGAATAAAGTGAGACATGATAGTAGTTTCAATGAATTCAACTTCACATGAGTTGGATACCAATAACGCTTTCAAACTGAGAAAATATTTTAATTCTATTGTGCTATTTCTGAAATGTCTCGCAGCATTCCTAAATTAATGAATTCATGGGAAAATTCATAATGACCTTTATTATAGTACTCATTAAGATGTATAAAACGGGTTAAAATAAATTTTAGTCATTGTAACTTTTTAGAAAATATATCTAATAACATTTTATTGTGGGATTGTCAGTATGAATACCTATACCTACTGTCTATATTCATAACTCTGTGAGCCACGTGAGAAGCATCATGGCAACTCGTAGTCTCCTCAACCATGTCACGTATCAGATTCAACCGATCTTCAACTCGAGAAAAATATTTGGTCAAAGTTGGTTTCGAACCCGCTATAATTGAATTGTAATTAATTTCTAAAATAATCATTTTACGAGAAAAACTTATAAGACATTTTTTATAGGACTCGTTAAGGTTAACGAAATTGATTCTATAGAAATTTTAGACATTTACAACTCTTTCTGTACTATAGCAATTACGAAAAATGTATAATGAAGTATTTTATTCTTGAAAGCACTATTTATATAAGTTGATGGAAATAGTTGATAATGTGAACAAGTTACTTTAACAACCTAATGAATATAGAATACAGAAGTTACACGATAGAATAAAAAAGTAACTGTATAAAAGACTACAAAACTGAATACAGAGAGGGAAGAATCCAACCATGTTCCCTTCGTTATAGGATCATGCATCGCAGAAATAATTCGTAAACTATAGCCATATGAAAAAAAGTGTAATCATGTGATTTGTTTACCTCCTCAACATAAAAGGTTAAAAAATCGACGACTTCTTGCTTTTTTCTGAAATATCATCACAGTTCCTGTTTCCTTTTCGTTGGACATCCTGTATTAATTAACTTATTTCAATGCCAGCGTTTAGCAATAAATAAACAAGTGAATCGAAACAAATTAAATTATTCAATAAAATAGTGATGATTCCTGTATGCAAGCTGTTCTTTAAACTACTTCAATTACGTACTTGCTTCATGCACTTTTTTAGTTCCATTGTTATATACGCCAAAAAATTGGTTTGTTCTAACCTTTGTTGTTTACCGATGTATTTCTAATGGGATGCGAGTTTGTTAAACAATTGAATACTCAATTGTGATATCACTAGCAATTATTTTCGGAGTTAAAAGAACCATGATGTTAAAAATGTTGAGGCACACAATTGAAAACTCACTTTTCCTTTGTTTGTATTTCCTCTTTTTCGATTGCATATGTTTTTTATGCATCATTCTTTCGCAGGATAAATTTCACTACTAACAAAGTAATGAGTAATTTAAACAACGCATGCCAACTAGGTACATTTATTAATTTACTTCCTCTCTCACAGTAGCTATTTATCGTCTGTTCATGTGCATTTATACATACAAAAATCTTAGCATGCTAATATTCCTATATGTATAAAACATGGCTTCAGATGTGAATGGACAGTTTACAAATCCCACCTAAATATGTAGTTCCTTTAATATATCATAATGTATGTAACAGAGGCGGGCTAAGCCTTATGGTGTAATAATGAAACACCAACATTCTATAGGTAAAAAACTAGAGCATTAAAAATTTTGCTATTTAAAAAATATAATAGAATAAGGATTACGCATGTATTTTTTGTATTCTTTCGAATACATTCAAACGGACTGGCAAGCCGATGCGACTCGCCTGTTAAAGATATATTGCAATTGCGTTATACGTAGTGAATCATTTGAAGGTTAAAATAGCATCTTTGTTTTGTGTTGTCTTTAGGTATATAGGAACTTACTTATTTCAAAATTGAAATTGATAGTTGAGAACAGACTTTTGTGTGAATTTTATCAAAGGTACCAGGGGGGTACCAGGCTCCACTCAGGGAGTTGATATGAGATTGTGTGTAGTTGGAATTATAGGTATACTGATTTTGCTTTATATACCCCAACCAATACGTAACCCTACTCATAAAAAAAGCTTCGAATAGCCCACAATGTTTCACAAATTTCCACAATGATCTTGGATCTTCCGAGATTTTTCCGATTATAGTTAATTGACTTTTGATATTGAAATAAAAATGTTATATGGCCCTGCAGCGCCTTCGTGTTTCTACAATATATCTCAAGAAGTTTTTTTACCATTTTTCCATCAACATATTCATAAATAAGTACTGGCAGTGTTGTCGGATACTGGTTCTGAGGAGTGAATGTTCGAATGTGGTATATAACGGGAAAGCGCCGAGATGAAAGACAGATTGAAATAGTTATGGGCGGTTCGACGTGGGTGCTTTGTTCACTCAGTCAATCGGCCGATGTGTGAGTCGATGGTTCAAGCTCCAGGCTGAACGCTCGATTTTCACTTGCTATCGTCCAACTCATGTTAGGAATCACACGTTAAAAGGTAAGACCTCGTTAGTCCTTAGCTCGCACAAGTTTCGACTTGTGCGAGCTAAGTTATCGTTCGTAAGGGTGCGATAGCTGGTTAACCGAAAAAACATATTTTAAACATAACAACATACTTTAAACGATAGAAACGAATGAAATGAATGCGTTGATTACAAAGTCTAACTGAATAAGCTTGTAACCCACGCACAGATGTAACATTGGTAACAGAGGATAGTTGGTAACAAAAAAAAGTTTCTGAAGCCTGGAAAACAGTTATACTTCAACCAAATATTGCTTGGTAATAAGTAAGTAATGAGGAGACTAGGTTTGTATTTGCAAACTGTCTCTTACTCATTTGACATATTATGGCGGATGGCGTTGTTTAGCAATCCATGCCCCAGAGCCCCAGGGTCCGCCACTGGTAGAAAAAGCTGGCTGAATTCGTGTTAGTAACTCTAGATTGTTAACTAGTTATACACTACAACTTCGATAATCTGGACACATATGGTTTCGACTACTGTAGGATTAGTGAAGTATCCAGACTAGGCAGTGTCATATTTTAATCCTCTTATAACCGGAGATAAGTACCTAGATATGTTGATAAAAAAAAACTATAGTTTTGACCAAAACGAAACATTTTTTAGCCTTTTTGCAGGGAATCAATGGGGAGTTTTTGAATTAGGCTTTTTGGGAGGGTGGAAATTTTTCCCACCTTCAACCGACTGAAAAAAAATTAAAGTAAATGGAAAGCTGTAGAGATAAAGAAAATGATATTACATTATATTAACAGGCACGGGTATTGTCGTACGAGATATCAAATCCTATGTAAAAATTTCTTGAAATTAAGAATATAGTAGTGGAAAAAACTTTTTTGTTTTGTTACTTCACTAACATTATATAGAAGGTGGGGAAATTTCGAAAAAAAGAAAAATTAAATACAATAATAAAATTCTTCACATATGTGTATATACATTACGCAGTTATTTTCATATACATTCGAAACACCTACTTTCGTAATTGAATAGAACTGGCCGATACTTGATGAAAATCCAATACAATAGCTTCCTCAAACTTGCTATTGTATAGCGAAACTCGTGTCGCGGTTTTTGTAAAACTCTTTATAGTGAAAATCATACAATAAACCTACTTTCGAATATAAACTTCGAATTACACGGAAATAATGTTTTCTCATGTGAATGCAGGAGTACTCCAGGGTTCAATTTTGAGGCCGCTTTGTTTCAATTTTCCACGAGTCCTGAGAAATACTGAAAACTTTTTCAAATTCATTTCATTCATTCATTTATTTAGTTACATTTTTTGGCAATGCGTTTCAACTGTGCATGTACTTATGCATGTTATACATATTCTCATTTGTTTTTAATGACAATATGTCGCTTCATGTGATTTTTCTTCAGATTTTTTCAACTGCTCTACTGTAGGAACCTTTTTTCAATATTATTGTTTATTTGATAGGTACAATTGGAACCTCTAGAGTAGGTAAAATTAATCTAAGATACTTTTTCCACACCAGAAAAAAAAACACCGCCTCCCGAGGCGCGTTCCTAAATGTTTTTGTTCTAATTTGGGAAAAGTGTTTCCTTTAGATTAAGAATGTGTTTTTTGACAATATTATCAAATTTTTGATAATAAACGTATATCTCTTTCAGCTAATCGTGATGCGATTTGACGTTTTTCGCTTTATTCTAAGATAACTTTTTAATGGATTCACAGACTGTTAAGTTACATGTACGCTAATTGGGAATTAAATAGTGTTACGTTAGTGGCTCCCCAAAGTAGGTGGGCATCTAAACATGGAGATCAGATTGCTATATCGTGACGTCACATTGTCACTAACTATGCGTCAGGAATCCCCAAAGAACGTGAAGAGTCCAAAGAATTTTTACGGGGTATGTATATGAGTTGCAGAGGCATATATATTAGTTCAGACAAGAGACAAGATTAGAAGTAACAGTGAAATTGTAAAATAGGTGCGATATTTATAAAATATGATTTGAAGTAAGAGTGTTGAGTGTTGTAATTTTGAAATAATTGGAATATCCTAAATTTCAAAACGTCATTCAAATGAGTTCTAAAACCGACTCTATATCTCTTACTGTTTCCAAGTTTCTCCTTCTTATCTTAGAGGTAGAGTATATTGCTCTTGTATTAGGACTTGCCAGCTGGTAAGATTAAAAAAAAATTATTTAATTTTCGCTGCACCTTATCCTTTATGATTTCTGTTGCAAACCGTGGTCACACAAGTTGTTGTTGTTCTCTTTCAATGCTATAAAATTAAATGAATTACTGGAAATGATGTTCCTTCAGATTTAGAACAGTCAGTTTTGTCAGTTCAGTTTAATATTGAGTTAATGAAAGTTGGACTTCGAAGTTCACTTACCTTCTTACACCTTATAAAAATGTCGAAACCTCCGGATATAAATTTAAAAAATATTACCAATCATTCTTTCCTTTCTTGAAATAATTTCATTTTGTAATGTTTGTTTCAAAAACCATCTGAGCCACATTTGCTCAGCTGTCAAATACAAAACGACATTTCATATCGCCTACAAATTTTGATAAAAAATGTCAGAATAAGACTATGTTCCGACAAAAGCGTGTGCAACTTATATGTGAATGTCATATTCAAATTGGTTGGGAGTTTATTCACCTCAGCAACATCTGTTTAATTAAATTTCACATTGCTGATATCACCAGCACAAAGAAATTGAATGACAAATTATACTTAAAAGAGCAATGAAATAATTATTTACATTATCACATTACTACTTGGAAATCAGTTGACAACACTTTCCTTTTCAAAATCAATTTTACAAATTTTTCACAAAAAAACCGTATTAGCGATTTTGCTATAATTTTTCGGTTTATATGATATAATACAAAAGTTCTATTTCCACCGTATAATCAGACACAGTCATTTTATTTTATCTTCATTTTGCTATATGGTAGGTAACAAATCCAACAATATTTTGCCTGAATAATGTGAAAGGATTGTCAGCCGCCTAATTTTAGATTTACTGAAACGAAGATGAAGTTGGAAGACTTGAGATGTATTTTTACAAAATATTGGAAGATTATCTTTTGTTAGCAACAATTTTTCTTCAAATTTGATATTACTTGAAACTGAAAGAATGCAAAATAGCAATCATTTCTGTGAAATATGAGTACTTACGTACTATAATAAAACTAATAAAACTTATACCTACGATTGTGGAAATATTTCCACAAACTCTTTCAGTACTTTTAATTGACAAAAATTTATATAATGCGCAATTTAAATTTATCATTTTCATCTACACCCTTCTCTGTTTACATTCAGTAAATGAAACAAAGAATATAGATCATTCTATTCTTTCATTCCTATTCATTGTTGTTGAATTTTGTTAATCTTAATAGTTGATGGAATAAATGCACATTCTAATAAGTATCTAATAACAATGAATGTTGAAATTTACTGAATTTTGTTTAGTTAACTTAATGTTGCATATATGATAAGTATCTCGAAAAGTGACTTTAAATTATGCTTCTCATCAACACAGAAGATTTCATGCAATATCAATAACGTACTCAATTTTTTTTCAACACTCACCACCACTGTACTATTCTTCACTAATGTAAACACAGATCTTTCCTGAAAAACGCGAAATACCATTCAGTAATCACTACATCAATACTGAAATTTTACTAAAAATAAATTCAACTTATTCGTAACCTCCGTCGCCATCTGAGAGACGATAGAGAAAACACAAAATAAGCGTATATTGAGATGTCAACAAAATTAGAAACCTATATAGTTTCAGATTTCTCTTTCAAAAATGGAGTAACGATTTATGGGTTACTTGCATATCTCGCTATTTTTGCTCAAATGCCAATAAACCGTTTTATTTATAATTACGAAAATACATTTTCACTTCCTCAAATGAAATTTGAGATACTGCAAAATTCTTTCTCAAAGTTCAGAATAAATTTTACGTCATAACAAACCACTTTCTCAGAGCTTTTCGGCTGCATAATCAAATCTAATATGTTTTGGCATTGTCTAAATCTATAGACAATGGTTTTGGTATTTCAAAGGAAATGTGGGGACAATTGTGGTAGATTTCCTTCGAGTTGATGCTATAGAGCAAAATATATTCATTCAACTGTCAACAGTGTGAGATATATTCTTTCAATGATTTAGGTATATTCTGTTGTTCCAAACCAAGTAATTGTTTATTATTTGCAAACCTTTATATTTTTATTGTTTTTTTTCACAGCAACAGCAAAATATACAATTTCAATTTCATTCATTATCTAACGAGTTCAAACTAAAATGAGATGACAGAATCTGAAATATGATTCAGTGTTGCCTAGCTCATATGAATTGTAACCCACAGAAACTTTCACAGCATGAGGCTACTTAGATTTTTACGCCCTTTCCTTTTTAAACATATTTCAAAGTCGACAAAAGTATTAATTTGGCAACACACCAAGTAAATTCCTTGTTATGCCACAAATGTTTTTTGAAACGTTTTTGTCCGAATTTTATATACTCGATAATTGATAGATATTTTTCGATAATAAAAAAATCTGCAATTTAATGTGTTAGGATTCACACGTTAAAAGGTAGGACCTCGTTTGTCTTTGCTTCGCACAAGTTTCGACTTTTGAGAGTTATCGTTCGTAGGGGGGCGACAACTGGTTAACGGATTTTTAAAACATATTAAATCTGCAATCTGTGAACTTAAACTTCCTCGAAGTCCTATAATAGCACAGTAAAATTAATACCATCATTGCAAAACAATATTTCTGGGATCTGGTTTCATCTATTAGTCATCTGATTACAGCTATATCTCTTTTGTCAGTTGACGTTCAAACCTAGTTTTGAAATAATCTAAACCGTCATCGGAGACGTTCGTTTATTTTCGATGAACAGGGTCCACAAAGTAGGTTAGGTCCAAAGTGACAACCTTCCTATATGAGGGTTTTTGCACGTCAGCTACACCTGACGATGCCTTAGATTCAGCCGTGCAGGGCTTTTTCGCCTCTGATTTTGGTGAATCATCACTTGAGCGCAAATGTTTGCTAACCTGCTCATAGAGCAGATTCTGCGTACGCCGCTCAAGAATTTGGTGCAAGGCGGTTTTATAAGGTACCCCACTCTTGAGGAGATTACTCAGTCGTTTCCTGGCTGAACCACCAAACCTTTTTTTTAAGGTTCAGTTGTTGGATCAGGAGTTGGGGAGTTGAGAAGCTCTCGCTCCTCAACTGAATTTACAGGGAGGTCAGTTGACGTCGTAAACTCAGCATCCATCTCCTCTGTAGACTCGCTCCTGAACTAAATTTACAGGGAGGTCAGTTGGAGTCGTAAACTCGTCATCCATCTCCTCTGTAGATTCGCCTCTGATCTAAGTTTACAGGGAGGTCAATTGGAGTCGTAAGCTCGACATCCATCTCCTCTATAGACTCAGCGTCAGAAAGAATTTTTAAGTTTACTCTGTCCATAAAAGTCCCACTAGTACCGTGATTGCTACGACGAGTGGGCGCCTGGTATCTCGAAGGTTCCGTAGAGACAGCTGATAGGTTCAGTGTCATTCATCCTCTCGACACGGATACACACATCTCAGGATTAAGCCATTGTTGGGATGCCATTCAGTTAGGGAATAACAGAACTACAAGTGATTCTGTCTTTCCCGTATCCAGCGGGGCTACGTGGAAGCATGCACAGTGGTTCAGGCAGTGAAAGATGAACAATGACAGCCAACATCCACAAACCATCAAGTATCCAATTTTTCTAATTTTGTTCTCAAAGCGCAATTTTAATACATTATATTTCATTGTTAATACATTTTTTTAGCTTGATACTTCATTTCAAGGAATATTATCATGTAATGAAAACGAATGAAATATTTAGTATCCCATTCTTTTGGAATATCTGCCTTTCAGAGAAGAAGATGGATTCCTTCCTGGATTACATGTAATAATTACTTCTACTAATCATCAATATCAAATACAGATTGGTCATACCTGAACCTCTATTCAGAAATTAGTTTGGCATAATATACTTATTATTCAATGATCTGTTTCTTGATAGGTTAACAGTAATTTTACTATGATATCTCATATTCAAAAGTTGTTCTTGAAATGTGTGGTATATAAATTACAAGAAATGTACCTCATCAAGAAAATGACAATTTGCTGCTCAACTCGTTTTTAGTTTTATCGTAAACCAAAGAGTGTACGCAAAGAATGTAGCCTACAGGATTTAATGTCTGACGTTTCGTCCACGATTGCAGTAGACATGGTCATCGCCTTTGTAGATGACACGTCAAGTATAAACACGGTCAACAAATCAGGAAAATAGTTTTGACTTTGTTGAACACAATTTGTAAGAAGTTTATTGATAGTAATGTTTAGAAGAAATCAGCAACTTTTGTCAGAAATGAAGTTGAAAGTCAGTCGTTAGCAATCAACTCTATGATCTACCTTAAAATTTATGTTATTTTATGTTGTTGTCACACAACTTGGAAGTATTTCTTCATTACCATTATACCAACTGGATTATTATTAGGATTTACTCTTTTTGTCACTTAAGTAAACACTCTCCATCATTTTGGTAATCAAGAATAGCAGTAGCTACCACTGGCCTATAATTTTTTTGAAATTTATTTGAAGTCTGTATGGTGAAGTTAAAACATTTTGTTGAAGGGCTTAGTTTCGGAACACAAACTTTAAAAACAATTTGTGGAATGTCCTTGCCTTATTGGTATTGAGGAAAGGAAGGATTTGCCACATCGTTTTTGAAGTGAACTTATTAGCACAAGGACAATGCCAACAGATAAAATATAGTAAATAGAAAGAATATGGACAAAATGCAAAAAGTCAAAGAAGAAACAGTAAGTAATAAATCAAACTGAACTCAAAGCCTTACACTTTATGGTAATTGAAAAATCCTTCAGATTATTGAGAAAATATAAAAAATTGAAACACGTTTCTCTCAATCAAATTAAAGCATCGATAACTATTTTTATTTTACTCATATACAATTTTTTTTTCAGGTTAAGATCTCTAAATCCATTGTGCTATCAAACTGGTTAACTCAGCATTATAAACTGTAAAACATAAAGAACAAAAACTCTAATTTGCTTGTGTGATGTGTAATTCAAAGTACATGAAAACAAAATTTACAAAAAAATATGGCAGTGTATGATTATTAAGAATTATTATAGTGCAAAAAAGAAATTATAAACTTTTATATTTTATACTCAAAGATGAAATAACAAACAATCTTTGTAAAATTATCTCCAGTCACCTAACAATAAATAACAACTTTATAATTTACTTAACCTAAGAATGGCTCAAATATTCATATATAATCATATTATTAACTATCAGACTTAAAATTGATAAAAACGATTTTAAAAGAGTAAACATACAATCAAAGACATGATGTTTCAATTAAAAATTTCATTTTTGCAATAACCAACACGCTGATTTTCAGCACATTTCTCTAGAAATAGAGTATTAATGATTGCAAATTTTCAAATGATTATGTTTTTGATCAGTCCAAGTTTTTGCAAATGCATTTTTCCATTTCTAGGGAAATCTACAAGGAACATTGCAATATTAAAAATCTTATATAGAGTTGGGACGACAAAAGAAGAGTATACATGGGTCATCATAAAATAGAAATTACACATGATTCGCATTGCATAACTATCTCTCTTCAATGTACTGATTACATGATATCATCCAAACAAGAGCTTTCCATGATTAAATGCTTTTTTCACTTGTTTGAAGGAACGGAAATTAAATGAAAGTAATTTGAAAAACGGAATATAAAATGTGTTTTCACAGATTAATTAATAAAATGCTGACGAATTGTATGAAACTAACCCAAAATCGTAACATGAGATTTTCATTATTAGTGATAACTTTTTTCATTAAAAGGTTAGGTTGTTCTAAGCAGTAGCTATATAGTTTCGTTTTCACAAATTGAAGACGCATGTGCACTCTTTCGTCGACAAAACTCTTTTTCAAGGTTTAAAATCGCACTGTTGCTTATATACTGCCTATAGAATAATTTACATTTCATAAGGGGAGTAAAATGGTGAAAAATTCTTCAGATAAAAGTTGTAGAATTTCAAGAAATCATTAAATTCATATATGGGCCCCAACCTAGCACTGGTACGGAATCAGATCAGGAAATAGGTTAATGGGGAACATATAATATACTGGGAAGCATATAGCAGTCTACACACACACACAGGAATACATTTCTAACAAGAAGGTCTGACCGTCTGAGAAAAAAACTGAAAATTGCTTGAAAAGAATAGGAATCGGTTCAGAATAATTTGGAGCTACTCGCTAGACACTGTCTCTTAGAGGACACTTTAACAAAATAAGGTTATGTATCACATCATGTCTCATGTGGATGTGGCAGAAGGCAAGGTATTTATGGAAAACTGAAATTAGAGTATGATAGAATATAACGAAGACCAGGAAACGAGAATGTGGCAATATGTATCACGAATAACGGGAGAGGCCGAAGTATTTCTCAAAGACTTTCATAACTTTTCAGAAAAAATCATCGATGAAAAGTTTCCCTTTATCAAAATGACCCTTAGAGGACTTAAGAGGACTATTAAAATGACTCAACACTATAACCATGATTTTTAAAGTAAAATTTCAAGCTTGAAATGATACAATTTAAAATAAAGGAAATCGATAAAAATAAGTATGAGACCTTTTCATCACTTTGGATTCCTTACGAAATATACCAAAAAAATTAAAACAGTTCACTCAGTATATGTGATAAAACAAATGACATCTTCATCTGGAATAAAATAACATGATATGATTTATGGTATTTCCCTTCTGAAACTAGTTCCCTTTTTGAGATATTTGATATGTGAAAAGAGAACATCATTATGCTATTATTTCACTCCAATAAAACAATTGCTGCAACTGCACAAATTCTAAATCGACAGATAAAAGTGATACTCTCAATTGTATGTTTCTATTACTACTTGATAAACGTTCTTGTAATTATTTATTATCTAGCCTCATTCATATGTTTTTAATTTTTTTTAAAGTAATTTCGACCGCTTTCCAGATATCAAAATCACAAGTACTTTTCCTCAAATAATCTGAATAAAAATACTAGTCATTAAGAAATACCTTCTTATGAAATTTATATCAGAAATATGCCGAAGACATTTAAAAAATCATTACTACTATTAGGTATCAAGTGAAAGTAATTTTTTCACTCTTCAGATTTGTGATTAGCAAACTATCATATACTACAAAATATTTTTTTCAAAAATTGAAGAGAGTCTAGATAATGAAGAATTACTCATATTCTATATCACTAAATGGTTCAAATATCATTTCATGTTCTAGTCTATCTATTAAATATCAAGTGTTCAAAACTCTTCTAAATGCATATAATCTAGTACGTCCTATATATATCAGGACTATCCAGTCAGGTAATCAAGTAATTTTTGAGTTACAAAACTTCGAGAAAACAAGAACTTTTTCAAAGAAAGAGCATAAATAATAACCTGACAGATAAGTGCCCAGAGTAAGGACTCTCAATATAATCTAAGGCCACCTATAGGTCCATTAGTTGTGACAAATTGTTAAAAATATTGAGAATTTTTTTTTATTACCATAAAATTTGATTGATTTGTAAAACATTGCAAACGGGAAAAGACTCTTGAGATTTTTTTATTTTAGACCTATTTGTATAATACACATGAAACTCCTACCACTCTGATCACTTTTCACTGACCATGTTTATCTCGATGGTGATAATCCATTGCCGCTTGACTACATCCGGTCTAATTTACTCAAGATATAAGCTAACCAGACTGGATTGAATGACTCAAGTCAATTCTAATGAAATATAAGGTTGGACTCGACTAATTCTGCATAGAAAATACAAATCTTCAAAGACGGATTTTGAGAGTGATTGAAATTGCAAAAAGTGACATTTGACAGCTATCTTCAGCAGATTCCTTCAAATTCTTAAAGTAGTGAAAATACTTCAGATAGTTTCTTCCTGATTGTGATCAAAATTTCTATCAAACCAAACAAAAGTTTGCATGAATGTACTGTAAAAAACTGAATATAATTGACAGCTGTTTTACTACTTGATGTTAGGTTTTCCAATCATCCTATCCACTGGAAACTGATGGTGAAATCTACTTTACTCAATGCTATCGAATTTCCATCAGATGAAAGTGCGAGATAAACATAGTCATTATGTAATGAGAAGAACTCTAGTTGAATTTAATGAGAAATACGTAGAAAACAATTATGTAATTGTGACAGTAATACAGGTTATATGTCACAACTCAAATTATTTCTTCCAAAATATAGATATATAGAAGATATAGAAATTGTTTTGACAGTAACAAACAATAAAAATCTAATTTGAATTAGAATTTGATGTGGCAGAAAAACCACAATGAGAAACATTATTATCACTTTATATTTATTGGTACTGATGTAGCGGTACATCAACTGACCTCTAAAGTCATGTCACTATTTGGCTCAGAAATTATGATTGACTGAACAATAGTTTAAATTTTATAATTACCTAAACCCACACTCCATGTGGATTTTTATTCGTAGGTACAGCATTCTCCAGTTGCCTTGGGGAACCTATCATTTTTCTGGTGGTACCCGCCTTTGTTGGACCTTCTAGTATCTGCCTAATGTCTTCGGGTGGGGCTATACTGAGACTCTGTAAATTGGCTTCTTTCATTTCCGATACCAAGTGCTCGACTTGCTTTTTCTTTTCGAATATTGCCGTTTCCAAAGAAGCAACCTGAAAGTTTATATTTTTAAACATGCATAATTGTTTAATGAAATAATTTTATTCAAATGTTACATTCTTTGAACCTCTATTAATTTTCATGAAAAGTAATGTAAAAGTTACATTCATTTTGAAACTGTATATCATCAGAGCAACATCACGATCAGAAATACTATCATGAAATATCTCAACCTTTTCTATTGAATCAGAACTTTTGTTGAAATATGGGTAACTTTTTTTCGTCTTATTTTAAGAGACCGATGTTAAGTAAAACTTTTAGAGAAAATTATCAAGTTTGCATTATTCGGATAATACAACTTTAACCTTTTCGTTAGGTTCAGCTCTGGCAGTCAAAATGCTAAGATATCTTTGTTTTCTGTCACAAGTTTTGTAAACTGGAATCAAGCTGCATACCAATTTCTACTATAAATTCGTCAGCGTCATGTTTTCAAAGGCTATAAGATCATAAACATTTCAACATTCAAGATGGCGGCAAGTGAGAAACAGTGGATAAAAGTGTTTAGATGAAAATAACTTAAAAGAAAAGTAATTCAAATATTGCAATATAAAAACCAACAAACAATTTAGTATGTTGAAATGTGACAAAATCTGTGTTACTATAATAATCTGCTATGAACAAATGAGTTTCATGGAAACAACCCAAGGAAATTTGGATTCAAAGTTAACAGATGTGGAAATTTCTCAGTTGAAAAATGAAAATTCTTTCTTGAGAAACTTTCACAAGAGAATGAAGAAAAATATGATTTATTTCAAGAAAATGCTTCGTTGTTGGAAGTTTTTGAAAATAAAATGGTACTAGAAGCAAAACGTAGAACCAACAAAAACCTATTAGTGAGGGGAGCAATTAAAAAAGCAACTTTATCAGAGAAAAAAAAGAATTAGTCAAAATGAAAATATTTCAAATACAAATGTGAAAAGAAATGATGAAATAAATAATCTGTCATGGTATGAGATCAGTCAGATTTCAAGAGACTTGAATCATCTACACTATCACAAATCAGAGATTACACTTAGAAATTATAGGTGTGGTGTTTTAAACCTTGATGACCGTAATAAGATACCCCAGATTCAAAATAATGGTTTTAAAGAAGTCAATATAAAATGGAATTGCAAAAAAAAACTTTGGTGAAAATAAAACACATGAAGAGTTTGGTGTTCAAAGAAAATCCTAACCTGACCTGACACTATTTCAGTTTTTGATTTTCGCATTCATTTTTGTGGATAACATTCTCTGAAATAAAGACTTTAGTTGAATGGATCGTTAGGATGATTCGCAAACTCAGTTATTATTTATTCTACAGAAACAAAAATTTCAAAATTTTTGTTGAGAAACCTACATTATCTCTTCTGATGTACATTTTTTAGTTTTAGAGTTATTTTCAAAAAAAAGTTGCTTTTCAAGAAATTAGAAAAATATGTCTCTAGATTAAATTATTTTTTCAATAACTTGGGCGACACATTGTTTTTGCATAATAGCTTCTTCAGGTGATGAAGAAAACGCGTTAAGAAGAGTATTGTTCTGATGATTGGAAGAAGTGCCTGTTTTGGATTTATTCTACGCCAGTGGTTCCAGATTTACCTTCTACTTCAAGCAACATCTATTTTGATTTCTGTCTTAGAGTATTCATGAAGAACAAGTTCAATTTTTGGTCATTACATATTTTTCATTTATGAGTTATTAACAAAAAACTGAGCATAACCATGATATTTCAACACTAAAATTCCAAGTTTTCTTACTTTATAGATGTTTTATTTAACATTTGACCCCCTATCCATTTCCAGGGTTATTCTGATTGAAAACATTTCCGCTCCCCGAGAAGAGGTGGCATACGCCTTCAGAGTGAAAGCGAATATCGGCTTTAGGTAATTCTTGTTCTTTTAGACTTTCCTGAACTTCTCAAATTTTATATCAAGAGGTCGAGGTTCAAAAAATTCAGAGAGGAAAACCTTCGACCGGAGTAATTTTTTTCAACAGATGTCACAAAATCAATCTCGTTTAAGTGTCTCTGCTGTCAAATGGTGTAAATCAGTACTTTGCTTAGCTAACTCTATATCTTTTTGAAGCCTCTCCACCTCCAACAACAGGTTTCTTTCAAGTTGTTTCCGAGATTCAGACCTCCTACTTTGAGACCTCTGTTCGATGTGTAATTCGTCCATGAGTAACCTTGAATCATGCAATTAAAAAAAAAAACTTAGTTACATAGTCCTGAAGACAAACCTTATTTTATTTTTGCATTGAAGTAACTCCGTCTCACAATTAGCAAGTTTTGAGCGCAATAAAGTAATCTCGGATTGCAGAGTTTTTTCTTGTTGTTTCACCAATTCACATTCTTCTTCAACATAACTTAAAGCTTGAATCTGAAACGATTTAATAATAATTTGATAGAATTCAAAGTTTTATAATAGTTTTTACTTGCTCCTGATTGGTTTTGCTGACATTAGAAACTGTAATCAATTCTTGAGCTAGGAAGTCTAGCTGCATTTGCTTTTCTCTTTCTTTTCCCTCCAAGAATACTATTTCAGCATCAAACTGAAAGAAATGAGAATTTGTATTTGTGTAGTTTTCTAGAAAAGTAAAATATAATAATCCCAAAAACCCTAAAATTTCGTTACGTAACAACTATCGGGATTTCTCCATTATTATTATATTTGTTTTTCTCACTAAGTTAATTATCACATATAAGGGCAGATAACTTTATTACAACTATGAGATACAAATCAATTCACTGAATTTATTTTATAAATAACAAGAAAAAAAATCACCTCAAAGGTGCGACTTTGTTCCCTCCTGTTCATAAAAGAGGACATATGCCTCCCTACTCACAAGCGATTTTGGTGAAATTGGGGACACATGTGAATCATATTATATATAAGTGTATTCTAGAATGATTTTTTTTAAATATTCAATATAAGAACCTACCTTGGTGAGATCAGTTTGCTGATTTGAAAGCTTCTCCCTTTGATAATTTATTAATGAAATTAGTTCTCTATATTGAGCATTATACAGAACATTTTCCTGGATTTTATTTTTGTCTTCTTTTTCTTTCTGATTTTTTGTTGCTTCCTGAAACAATATATCTTACTGAAGATGTACTATTGAGTTATTATGTGAAAAAAAGAAAATTATTTTCGGCTATCTACTTCTCCAATGATATATGAAGAAAAATAAAAAATATCAATGTACTTTTAATATTCACAAATATTCCTTTCAGATACAAACATGAAGAAAAAAAACTTTCCTATCTGGATTTTGAATAACACAAAAATAACATTTTCTTTCTCGGGTTATGTCATACCTGCAGTAAACCTTTTTTGTATTTATCATGTAGGTAAATAGATGAGGGTGGCGGAGGGTCTCTATAAGGTGGTGGTGCTGGTGGATCTTTGTACGGTGGTGCAATACGATGGCTACTATGACTAGGGGAGTCTGATGTATCTGACCCGCAGTAACTACTTTTTTTTGGAGAGCTATGTGGTGAGCCTAAATAATTTTCTTTCACTTCAAGAGAAATAGGTTTCACTTGTGGCACTCCCTTCACAATTCCGATATTCTCTGAACCAGATATGTAATTCCCACTAAAAATTAAAGATGAATATTATTTTCAAATATTTTATAGATATGGGCGATTGTCAAAATAGATAAATTTCACATGTCAAAGATATTGTCATGTGATTCCATATACTTATATCGATATAAGATATAAATTATATATTTGAAAATACATTAAACATTTATATAGGTCACGAACAAGCCACCTGGGCTAAATAGTTATGACGTTGTTCTTTATTTTGAATATGTAGTCAACTGGATACCCAAAAAATAAAAATTTAATTTTGAAAGACAATCATTCTCAATGTTAGTTACACTTTTAGGTCAGGCAAGTTTTCAAAAATGTAATAGTGTGAACTCATTTTTCATTTATGTGTGTATCTGTTAAAACTTATATTTTGTCTTGCAGGTGAAATTAACCATAATTTACTTTTTTAAAACATGATTGAAAAAAAGAATCATAATTCCATTAATGAAATGGACATATTTACATAATGGCTTTTGAAGTAGGTTCATACAAACCTACTCTAGTAACAAAAAAAGAGAAATAATTGAAGGATTCACAAAACGTTAAAATCTAATCCACTTGGGGGTAGTATTCGACAGATAAATGTAGACTTTATTAAAACAACAGGGATCACTTCAGATATATTAGGTGCAAAATAGTAAAGCAAAGACAGGTGCATTTACTAACTACACTATAAAAGTCACTAAGCAGAAGGACAACCAAGAAGGACTGAATTGGAATATGTTTTACAGTTGTCATTATGCTTGGTGATTTCGATAGCGTAGCTGGTAAAGTTACCTCTTTGGCGAACAGCAAGGTAGCATTTGAATCCCGGTCGTGCACTTTTTTCAATACACTTTTTTCTTCATATATGTCTGAATGCAGCCAAGTCAATTTTCAATATTCATATTACAAACCATAAAACTTTTCTCTTGTATTCCTCAAACAAATTTCAGTCTAATCAAATAATACACACTTGGCTGGTATTTTGTCTTGAAATTGTGCATTCGATACATGGAACACATGATGTCAAATTATTCATTTTTTGTTAGGTATATAAATTTATAACAACCTATGTTTGCCTATTCTGTTGGAGAGGAGGTGACAAAGAAAATGAAGTATCCGGGATGATAGATAAATGGAGAGATGGCTATTCTTAAGATGCATAGAATATCCCCAGTTTGATCACTTAGACCCCTACCCAACGAAAAATATTTTGTGAAAAACTCTCGGACTATGGCACTCTTGATGAAAAAATAATAGGGCATTTCATTTACAGAGATGTTGAGTACAACTCAAGTGACACAGCCTGACGAGTTGACACATCAATTTTCAATGTTGTTTACACCATCTTGCACCATCTATCGACGTTGGGTCAATCTCATTTCTCGGGTCAACAATTTTTGACAAAATAACAGCCAATTGGTTGAAACACTAGGGACTAGGGTTTCTGTTTCTATTTATCATACCAACTGTTTGTAAATTATTATAATTCTAAAGTAATCTGGTTGTAAGCTGCTGTTAATAAAATAATTATAATTCTTGAAGCCTTCCAGGCGATCCTTGCAAAATATTTGTCAAATATTTCCAATGTAATTACATAAACTGTTTACCTGAATGTTAATGATTTGTGAAGATCTCTTTGCCTCTCTGGGGATTCTGAACTATTTGAACAATTCACCGGGGTATTGTTGTTAGATGACCTAGGTTTATTTTGCTGATTAATTTTACTATTTTCACTACGTTGCAAAATAAATTGCACATCACTTGAATATTCTCCCCATTTCATAATAATTTTCATTGGGTTTTCGTTGGGTGAGAGCTGTCTTTCGTTGCTTCTCCATCTTTCTATGAGTGTAAATCGGCCTGATTTGCCAGTGGCATGAGCCAAGGCAAAAACAACATCCTGTGAAAGATTAAAATAATAACTTAAAAAATATATTATCGAACATTACCTGACAAGTGGTTGCTTCAGTTACACCACAAACTATACGTTGTATACCTTCGACCCAAACTTTTAATTCCATTTTAAGAGAGGCTAACTACAACTGTTGAAAACAGATATCAAATAATATATTTTTAGGGAGTTGTGGTATCTGGGACTGACCATTATTAGTGTGAAATATGCTATTTCCAAAATAATAACTTAGGTGTTCTGATAGCATTGGCACTTTCTGAGGCGACACATTTTAAATAGTAAAATCCTTATTTTAAAAAAAGGCTTAAATATTGGAATATTATTATTTGATGCATACGTCAAAAATTGTTTTTCTACATTTGTCAAAAATTTGATGTATACGCCATCTACATGAGCATTTATTTTATCTCCTGTGTCAAATATAAAGCAGAATTGTCAACCACAATTTAAATACAGATTACCATTCTGTGATATAATAATGTCGAAACATGATTTTTCTTTAGTTGTCCCAGCGCAACATTACGAGTTATTACAAGTATATTCACCATAAGTATAGCTGAGACATAGTAAAAATCAACCAGTAAGTCCACTCCCACTACTTTCATTCGTAAATTCACAAAGTTCTCGGTGAAGTGAGGAGCCTATTTTGTTTTTTAACTATAGGCGTGCGCCCATATAAAAACTAAATTTAAGGTTATTGTAGAATATTTTGTAGGAAATTACTTATAACCAACTACAAAAACTCAAAACAATAATAACAACAGCGAATAAACTAAACACAATATCAATTTCCGACCATTTATTATAACTAATCCGATGTCCTAGGGACCGTCAAATCCTTCGATATTACAGTATTGAACGCGTTGGATGAGAATCTCATTCTGAGAGCGATGGAAGGTCTCCGGTAACTTGGGCGGATCACGTGGTAAAAGATAGCCTACTCTGGTTGTATTATCCTACTGTGGCTGAGGTATAGTATAACTATTAATAGATAGGATAGCGGAAAGAACATCTGAAATCAATATGTATTTGTCCACTTTTCATTAAAACTCCATAACTGGTTTGAAAACACAATGATATTTATTGAAGTAATCTTAAAGCTTGAAACTCCCACTCATATAAAAAACAAAGATGGGACCTTGGCAACTCAGGTACAGTCCTTAACGTGAAAGAAAAAAATCGAAACAAAACCTTTTTTTATTTTCTTAGCCCATAGTTTAAGAATTAGTTACGAATGCAGAACGTTTACTCATGACTCTAACTTGGTAAATGAAATAAATATCAAGTAAATTATCGCAGTTATCAGAAGCTATCCATATGCACTTCGACAGTATGTCAATATCTCTTGAAGATGATCACTTTGTGATTGAAACATGTGTCGAGGTGTTGAAATAACGGTTTGGTGTTGGAATAAAACTCCAGTAATATTCATTACTACATCAAAGGTGTGTCACAAGATTCATAAACGATGGCTGACCAGGTTCCACAGGTTCCAAGGGTTTGTAGTTCTCAAGACATAGACATAGACAAGACAAGTTCTCCAAAGTAAGACGAATAATTACTATGATTGTAATTGAAAAACTTCATATTTCATCTCGAGGAAATCTGTGAAATGACAATTTTTCTATTTTTTATGTTTTTACTGCAATACAATACTACAATACATTCATTGTGTCTAGTTGAAGTAATTATTGCTATAAGATGAACAATTTCAACTTCACGTACACGACAACAGTCTTGATTTCGATCAGGTTGAAGCCTGGCTTCCTTACCCGTTGAACTGATGTTTGCCAGAAGGACAAGTGGATCATAACTGATGGTGAGTGTTGATGGTATGGCGGCATGAATGTCCTCAGACATCAGTACCGCCCTTCACGTTGGGTTGGATGAAAAAGTTGTTCATCTTTTAACGAAGGACATAGGGGCCTCATTCGACAGAGTGTCGGGGCCTTCTATATCGGGAGAGGGTCGTCTACAGTATAATCCATAGCTTCCACAGCCAACAGGGTATATGGTCTGTGATAGCTTCCCTGACTAATGGGCTTCCTTGATTAATGGTTCAACTTCACGTGCACTAGATGTAGGCTTATATAACAAAAACAGTAAACGTAGTGTAATTTGAAAATTTTCAATCAGAATTATATTAATTTATAATCTTGTTAATTTGTCAAATATCAGTGTTGCCAATTATGAAATCGGATATCTCTATTTGAAATGTTTGTTACCGCGTTAATACGGTGTTTTAGGTTATGGATAGTACAGACAACCCACAGAAAAAACACGGCTAGCGGTGTTTCGATGTTGAGGGGTCAACTTTCTGTGACCTATATTCTGTGTTCGAGGTCAGGCGTTTAATGTAATTTTTAGCGGTAAATTCAAATTATTTGAAACTTATCAGATATATAATTTGATTGCAGTCTAGGAATTATCACGATGTTACATCTCGGCAGGTTGTTAGGTCAACAATTCAACAATTTTACTCAAACTGGGCTAATGTTTTCATGTTCCAGTTCACTAAACAATCGACAAAATTTTTTGGTTGGCAGTAATCTCATTAGGCCAAGGTCGTTGAAGATCAACTAATGTCACCTTGATTTATGGATTATTGCCATTATTGAGTAACAGCATTTAACAGTTCCTCAATTTATGCCAGTCTCGCAGTATTCATATAATATACGCACATATACACTGTAGGTGCACAGTATATTTTACATTTCATCATTGAAGATTCGAAAAAGCCAGCATGTATCACGGTTCCCTAACACACCTTGGAAAACTGTCTAAACCAGATTTGAAAAAATTTTTGGATTCTTTCGATACAGTATTAACTGACTGTGATGGTGTATTGTGGCTGGAAAACGAACCTCTTCCAGGATCCGTTGAAGTTATCAATCAGTTGAGAGAGGCTGGAAAGAAAATTATGTTTGTCACAAACAACTCTACAAAAATTAGGGACGACTTCGTTGCTAAAGCAAAGAGAATGGGCTTTATCGTAGAAAAGGTATACCTTACAATGGCCATGGTTAAACGGATCTACTTGTGTCATCAACCAACAACTGTTTGATAAGTACTACTCATAACAGAAGGTACTAATGAATTATGTTCTAGAAAAATTTCTAGAAGTTAACATATAGATTAGAATTCAGTTATATTAATACTATGCTCAACTGAATATAAATCCAAATATCCACTCTAGTGTATTTGTGTGATATCACAAAACTGTTATTTTCAAAACAGCTAATTTAGTCATCTTGGTAATGAGTTATTTGATATACTTATACATACTAATTACGTATACAGTTTCTATGCCTGTATATAATCTCTTACCAAACTATTTTCACATTACTGATCAATAAATGATGCTGCTATCATCTCTCAATACCAGATGACATCAAAATTGATCATTAATAAGATTTATTTTATAGGTAACAAGTACTTATTCATTTTGTCTCTCTTCATTGTTTTGTAATTTCACAGAATTTTCAATTCAGTACATATTTTATATTGAAACTCTAATATTCATTAAATGAAAATAATTCATCAGTGACATATACACATCAATAAAATATAGGGTACACATCTTTTAACCCTGCAGGAGTCGCATCTATTTCTCGAACATGAGAGGTCGCTACGGAGTGAAAATGGTAATGACTAGTTAATTTACACGCTATTGGCGGAAGGTACTGAAGCGCGGACGCCCGAAGGAATCGTAATGACCGAGTTATCACGATTACCGGTCACCTGCGGAGTAAGACTCCGCGCGCGAACTCTGTAGGGTTAAATTGATTTGATTTATTGTATGTATTTGTAATTTGTTTTTTCTAAAGACGTAATTTCAAGAATATTTGAGTTATTTTTTCAAATACCTTATACATTGTAGGTGTGTATCATCTGAGTACTTCTTTTAAGGCATATTTGTTGTCAAAAATAGTAGTGTATTGTCACAGAAGTTTGCAGGATGAAATTATTTCTACGGGATACCTTACTGTTAGCTACTTGAAGAGTACCGGTTTTAATAAAAAGGTATATATTATTGGATCCAAAGGACTGGCACAAGAATTGGAGTCTGCCGGTATCAAGCACCTAGGAATTGGGGTAAGGCCTGCTTCTTGAATTGCAATACTTTTCAATGACTGAAGAATTCATATAATTCCATCAGAAGTAACTACACTATCTTTTATTGTAAATAACTTTATGTTAATAATCTTTTGATTCAAATAAATGTAAAATTGGAACTTTGGCGTAGAATAAATCCAAAAGGAAACACTTTTCCCAATCACCAGAACTTCAATACTCTTCTTGACCCACGTTTCACCAACTAAGTTGGCGTCTTCAAGATATGAAGAAGTTTTCTTCATCTCCTGGTTTTCTTCATCTCCTCCGTGTCAAGAAGAATATTGAAGTTTTTTCTTCTTAAAGTTGATTAATTACTCCTGTATGAGTAAATGACAATTATTTAAAAAATAAACTAATGAATGTTGAACAATTATGCTGCCTGGTTGTTTGATATTAACTTTAACAAAAGAAAAACTTGCTTTACATATAGCAGTTTCTGAATATTCACAAGATATGATAAAGAAAAAAGTTGAAAGAAATTAGCTTATAATGCTAGTCAAAATCCAGCCAGGAGATTGATCTGGAACCCACTATGTCTTTCCTTCATAAAACTCTTGGCTTTCGACACATTACTTTGATAAAACAGCTGATACTGATGAAAAATAAATAGGTTTATTTATTTTTAAGCAATTATAATAGTTATATTAAGGATTTTACTTGTTGGGTTCATAACTGAACTCTAATGCTTGACTGGTTTCAACAATTGAAACTTTCTTGACGTACCATTTGGGATTTTATAATAATTCTGTAGTGTACTTGACCGATAAATAAAATAAGTAAATAAAAATAAAACAGGAATGAAACTTACGTTATATGACCTGAACGCACACAAGGGGGATGCCAATAACTAGGGTTATGTAATATTCATTACTACACCAAAGGTTTCAAACAGTGCATCACAGGTATTTTAATAGTTGTCGATTTCAAATATTTCAGTATCAGATGCCTACTAATACGTGGGGGATTGCCAAAATTAGGTACTCTTAACCTAGAAATTGTCCATAGAAAAATATCAGATTCCTGTGGTTTGTCAAAGGTTCCAGAATGATATTGATATTTGATAGATCCCATCGATGAATATAGTGTTCTTATTCTCCTGTTAATTTTTTATTACTTATATCATTATTATTATTATTTTTCAGCCAGACGTTCTACAGTATAACCTTGCCCAGACAATAGAAACCTACCAACCCGATCCGGATGTTGGAGCTGTTATAGTAGGATTCGATGAACATTTTTCCTACATAAAAATGCTCAAAGCTGCATCCTACCTCAACAAACCCTCCTGCTTATTCATAGCAACAAATACAGATGAGCGTTTTCCTATGAATTCAGATTTGGTTGTCCCTGGCACTGGTGCCATTGTTAGGGCTGTTGAAACTGTAGCCCAGAGAGAGGCAATTGTTGTTGGAAAGCCAAATGCCTATATCTCGCAGGCTCTCATCAACGAACACGGTGTCGACCCAAAGAGGACAATTATGATTGGTGACAGGTTAGTTTCAACATTCTGTTAGAGTTGGAGAAAGTGTTATATATTTGAAATGCTAAATGCATACTTGACAAAATTCAAAAACGAGGCACTTTCTTTAAATAATTTTTCGTATTGCACATCATTTCAGCATATTTCAGGCCTAATTTGATTATGCCGAAATAAGGAGATTTCCTGGGCTGGGGCCATATTTATCTAACATTATTGAGATTTGAGATCACAATAATGAATGTTACAAGTTGTCAAATAAATTGAAAATGAATGAAATGTTACAGTTATTGAAAACACGAAAAATTACAGAACCGAACAATCGGATGAGTTAGTTGAAACAGAGAAAAATTTAGTAAAAATAAATTAGCAATGAATGTAAAGATTCATAAAAAATTTAAGAACGCTAGATTGTAAAGCAAACAAATTATTGTGATACGAAATGAAAATGAATAAATAAATGGCTTAAACAATTAGTGAAATGTCAATTATATACAAACAATAAAAAATAATCAAGATTAATTATGAAACTCGTTAATTTCAGGTATAAAATTATAGAAAATATAGTTGAACAATATCGTCATTTCAAAAAATACTACTTCATACTCACATATATCAGTACGGATTCAGAAAAGGAAGAGTAACGGAGGATTAAATTTTTTTCATTCGTAGCTTGAATTATAAATTATCAGATGAAAAAATTGAATTTTTGTTGATCTCTTTATGGGTGGACGGGAAATGTGAATGCCTTGCTATGAAGTTACTTGTCTGGCCGCTAACAACAAATGAATCATTACATATGGTGTCTCTCAGGGAACCATGTTGAGTCCCCTACTTTTCACAATATATCTAAACAGTTTATTAACTTCAAAATATGGGGAAAATGTTACCTTTGATGATGACAGTGCAATAATATTTAAGACAAAAACCTAGGATGAGTAAAAATAAAAGCTGAAATGGATACAAAAATGATATATAAATGCTTTTTGTGTAAGCAGTCTTCCGTATATGGGCCCATAAGTAGACTGACAGAGTGAAATAAAAAGCAACGTTATTGACTTGACAGGACTTCATGATTCAAATTTTTGAAAAAAAATCCCAGACATCACTCACTTGAAAATTGTTGATTATTCTTAAATAGTAATTTTTTTTTATGGTATCATAGGCTGAGGAGGTTTTCATATATCTTGAGAACCTGAATATGATGGATTTGAAAGTGATTCTTGGGAAAACAACGATTTATTAAATAAGTTCACACATATGATGTTAGACACCTTCACAGCCTGAACAGTATTTAAAAAAAACTCTACAGCTACCATCTCATAATAATGAAACGAGACGATAAGGCGCAAAGTTTGTCTCCATTTTATGAGAAAACTATTAGCCAACGAAGTTGTAATTACTCAAGTACCAAAGTCTTCAGTATATTACCATCAGACATTAAAGAAAGTAAATCTTTTGATAAGTTCAAATTTCAAATAAGAAAACAGGATTCAGATAAAAATGTCAATTCTTCAATGTGTTCAATTTATTTGTATGATTTTCGAAATATTTTCACTGGTAGACTTATAACCAATTTAAAAATAGTGATTATAAGCTATAATTATCATCAAAGTATATTTTATAGATTGATGTCAATCACCTGAATGTAACTTAATGCATATTTGTGTATGTATGTACTTGTGTGTTTCTCATACATGTATATGTGTGATTTTCTGGATGTAGACACTTGTATGATATTCAATTGGACATATTACTGATGTTAGTTTTTCTACATGAGAACTAATAGTTATCTTTACAAAGTTTTATATTTCTTTTTGAATGTCACATATAAGCTGAAACATTTAATTTCTGTGATATATTTTTTTATTTGAAACACATCATTACTAATATTATAAATTAAAAAGTTTGTGTGTATGTTTGTGGCTCTTTTACGCCTAAACGACTGAACATATTTAGGTTAAACTTTACATAATTATAGCTGATACATCAGAATAACATATAGACTACAATTTACAAAGTGTTTGTGTAATTTTGGTCATAACATAACGATAAGTATAAGGTAAGCAGGGAGCAAGTCAATACAATATTTGAACCCCTATATTCCCCCTTGGGCGTGGAAATTCTTGATTCCCTTTCTTGACGTTTATTTGCGCTATACAAAGAACTTACCTGCATATTTCTTAAGATTCTAGGTTCAGTGTCAGTCAATCAGTAGGTACCAACTTATACAATACTAGCTGTTACCCGCTATTTTACCCGCGTTACCGTGGGAATTTACCCTATGTATTAATCCAGGTCATGATCTATTTATATAACAACTTACATTTGAATCCGTCGAGCTATTTAGGCTTGAAAAAGTGAAACATGTAAATACATACATGACACTCATCCATCCTCACAAACTTTACGCATTTATAATATTAGTTGTATAGGATTACCAATGTATTTCATTCTAATCCTTTCAATTTTTTGCTGCTGAACCTAGAACCATTATATAGCGTAAATAAGAATCAAGGAAGGGAATCAGGCATTTCCACCCCCAAGGGGGAAAATGAGGTTTTAAAGATTGTATTGAATTTAGTGAGTTTAGAAGTTGGAAATCTGAAGATTTGGGTTGGAAAAAATATTGTAACTATTTTTTTAAAATGGTCCGTCACAAAAGTTAACGTGACAAACCAAATTCTACGCGGGCAACAACTAGTTTTCTTATATTTGTGATTTACTTTTATCATAATTGAATAAACATCATTACTAGAATTACACTAGAAAATGACATCATTTCACATTTTTCAGTATTTAGAGGTAATTTCCTCAGTTCTCATCACTTATCATGTTTTATTATAACTTCTTGTACTAACAATACCTTTACTGCTCTAAACACTTGAAATCATTTGAAACCAAAGGACTCCCACAGAAAAATATTTGCATGAATGTTATTGACAAAAACTCGTAGAAAAAATTGGTGCGAGATTGATTTCCTGTTGCATCCGCTAACATTTCTGATTTAATCTTTTTTTCAGATGCAACACAGACATTCTATTAGGTACGAGGTGCGGTTTCCAGACTTTCTTGGTTCTAACAGGAGTGACTACTTTAGAAGAAGTAGTGCAATGGAAAAAATCTTCCAAAAAAGATGAAAAAGACTTGGTTCCTGATGTATATTTGGAAAAATTAGGAGATTTGTTACCGCTTCTTGACTAGATCAATTGTTTTTCATTTTGGGCGATTAAAAAATATATATAATATAACAAGGTTTCAGTTCTGAAAAAAAAAATTAGTTGAAAATAACTGAAAGACAAGGACACAATTGCTATAGCAACATTCCAAAAAATCATGTGACATACAGAATCATCTGTGTTATTTTATTGAATAAATAAGTTCCTCTGATGTTATATTTCAGTTGAAGATGGTAAGAGGCGATATGCTTCTACTAGTTTGGAAATATTCTGTTCTTTTTGTAGCATATATATACTGCAGGTTTTTTGATTTATTCCACTTAGCATGTTACCAAAATCAATGAAACTATAATCATGATGGTTAGTGAACCATAGGATCTTTCAAGATTGTGATGAGATATGAAGCAAAACACAAAGGGGAAAATCCCAAAAGAATATCAGAGATTAGGCGAGCATCACTAATATCCAATACACAATAGAAAACATCAGCCATGGAAGTAAAATTAGTAGTGAACAGTGTAACGTTTACAAGGTCAAAAACACTTAGGTATAGATTGGTACAGCAAACCAAGAAGTCATAGTTATTCAACAGTGACAGTTAACAGTAACAAGATAATGGTTCACAGTTATGAATGAAATTATTTTATTTTAAACTGTTTTAATTTGTTATATTGAAAATACAAACACAAAAGTGATTATAAGAGTATTGTTTTGCCTTTGTTTTCTTGCAAAACACATCCACAGACACATTCAAATAAAAAGTTAATGTTTAAATACTGGATTGGCCTCAGAACCATCATTTTTGACAAGGAGTATCCTCGGATTGGGAAAAAATCATCCTGATACAATTTTTGTCAAAGTGTTGCACTTCTTTAAAAATTTCTCGATAGTCGAGTCTTTAGTTTTTGAAAATAATGTTAAATGTATTGCTTGCGTTTGTTAAACCTTGTATTATTCATTTACATTTCTCGTTTTAATAATAATCAGACTTCAACATTTTTCAAATGGCTGTTATTCCTTCAGAAATTATCTGCTAATATAAAAAAATTAACTGAGATTTTGAGAAAATTTATTTTAAAAAGAATAAATCAAATGAGAAGACATGCATATTGTACAATAAATATCAATGTGGCTTGAAATTGATCTGCACAACACCTGATTTCAACTCGGCTACCAAAAATATTTGTTATTCAGAATATCCTGCATTTCGATTAATATAAAAATGGAATTAGAGCTTTTCTCTTCTTGGGAAACTTCTCAAATGTTTCTTGATACCACCAATGACTTAATAAAATTGTTTCCACCTAAAATAAAGAAAATATTTACATCATTTCACATAATAATTATAAAAGGTAATATCTGATATCACTTCTAACCTGAGGTTAGTTATCATTATCAGATGACTGACAAAACCTCAAGAAAATTACTTTTAGTTTTGATGTTTTCCAATGATTTTTAAAGCTTATGTATATAAAATGCCATAAAAAAGTTATTCAGCGAGTTGAAACTAAATAATTTGATAATAAATAAAACAAAATGAAAAAAGGTAAACAAAGTCACAAGCAAGATTCAATCTTGCCACAAAGAGTATATACATAAAGGCTGTAGTCCATTTAGCATTGTGGAAACGTTGAATTACAATAAGAGAAGTAAAAGATTCTGCCCTAATCATAAAAAATAGAAAAGATTTTTTCCAAATAATCATAGCTCAAGATTTGAATCAGCAAAACATAAAGAGCTACTAACGTTAAATTCATATTATTATGGTGTTTTGGAGGCAAAAATGCACACACCTTGGAAACTAATAATGTGTAATTATAGTTATAGTTTATAAAACGATTTTCTTACGAATCAAAGACAGGCAAATACATGAGAATTTTTGATGTTGAAAAATATGTGTAAACCCAAAAACTGAACGTTTGTTTGAAAATGGTTGACAGTGTTTCTTGGTGAATTTTACTTGTTAGTATCCACAATCGTCTTCGGGTGATGATTGGACTATTCTCCGAGAGATGGCTATTTATAGGTCATTTGAACGCTTTTACATATACCCTCTTCTCTCCGCTTCACCGGTTTATGGAAGTTAATAGTTTTTCCGGTTGATTAAAGGTTTCCATATGTTACCAATCTCTACGCTAGCTTGCCTGAATGCGTCGCTGGGCAACATATATGCAGCCTCCTTGAACTTTCTCTTAAACCAGTTTTTTCTGTGGATGATCTGAGCTTGGGTCCACTTAATGTTATGCTGATGAATTCAAACATACTCTGCTATTTCTGATTTGCTGGTTTCTCCTCGCGATGTGTTTCTCTTGTGCCGCATACATTTTCAATACAATAATTTTCAAACAACTGGCAATAACTTAAATGACAATATTTTGTTGTCATTGCTCAATCTAACTTAACTTTTTCAATATTTACCTTTTCAATAACCTGTATTATATTAATGAGTAAGAACTGAACTTCATAACCTTTTTGGTATTACTATGTTTGAACAGTTGCTAACTAACGTGACTTGGAATCTCTTCACTTTTTATTTTCTTTCTTTTTTCATTTCTTTATTTTTATTTATTCAATTGTTCTATTTTTACTTGTATTTTATTTCACTATTATTTCATTTCAGTTTTATTTTGGTTAATATAATTATCATTTTCAGCTATCTCATTTTTAATTCTTCTTTTTTAGTTGTTTCAGGGATTTCAAATCATTTTATATAGTAGACAATGGAAGTCCGAACTAGTGAAATTCATAATGAAAAATATAGTAATTTGTACTATATTCTATCATACAGACTGGTAGGTCTGAAAGATTAGATGAGTGCTACTTTATTGAAATGGAGACATACCTGGTTGGCGAGAACCCAAGTGAACACAAAAAACCAAGTTATATTATACCACAATAAAATTGTAATGGACAGGTACATTAAAATTTCAGCAGTTTGATGTGGAGACGATAAGTATTCAAACCAATCACCGTGGGGTAGTTTATGGTCACTTGTAACTATTTTTCCTGAAACAAACAATTAAAATTGAGGAAAATATTGATTTTATGACCGAGCTTTTATGTGCTTATATAAGTTAGTTTCATTTGATTTATGTTGTTAGTTGAGGCAAAATTGATAAGTTTTGTTGTTGATATATATTTTTTTCATCTACATTACATTCAGTCTGTTACAGATAAATAAAATTATATTTTCTGAAATAATATTCCTCTTGGTTATATTTGACCGGTATTAGAAAATGAAGAAATTAATAGTACAATGAGGGTTGAAACACTTATTTAAATTATAGCTACATAACTTTTGTGATGGTACTCTAATGCCGGTTTATAAAATAATTCACTGGCACCCCAAAACATATATTGGAGTACCTCTTAATGTCGATGGTAGAGTTTCTTTTTCTTAAATAACAAATATTGGTTTTGTTTCATTTTTTAAAATCCCAGTGAATTTTCCATAGAATTACATTTTTTATCAGCCTCAGATAAATTTCCTTTCAAGGTTTCGAATCATATTTCAGATCTCAATTTCTTCCTAACTTTATTTTTATTTCTGACTATGATCGGTGTTTTTTTCTAAAATAATTTTAGACTCTGTAATGAACCAACAAATTACATCTGAATAGGTTGCACAAATGATAGCTGTTGTTAAAAAAAAATTAGTACTATTTGAGTATTAGGAAAAAGAAGATTACAAACACTACTGACACTCCAACATTATTTATTTACATTTTTTTTAATGGCTTTTGGAGTTGTTCGATGCAACAGAACATATGAATATTTATTCAGAAATTGAACTGTAAATAATTCATGCAACAAAAATACTTTTCAATGCGTGTTTCAGCAACAAAGTTGGCATCATGGACAAAATAAAATTAATTTAAATTGCTCAACAGATTCAACCGTTTAAAGGACTACAACAATGAAAAAATGACAAGTGTAATGATATTCAAAGATATTGAAAAAACATGCACATAGTAATTTATACTAGTTAGCAGTAATATCAACGTTTGATAGGATGTCACTCAATTTATTGTACCTTTTTCATTCTTCCTCAAACCGGCCAAAATTTTTGTTGTTTTGTGTTGATGCCACCATGCCCAAATGAATAATAAAATTGCAAAGATATCAATATATGACAGCGAAGTGAGATTCAAGTTTGTTGCCCCGAACGTAGCTGAAAAAAAAAAATTAAATGGGCAATTAAGAGAAAATAATGTCAAAAAAAACTTACTTGTTGCAAAACGAGGAGCTTCACAAATTATTGCCAAAAAAGCCCCAGGATAATGAAATATTCCCATAATGAAGTGAGAGATATTAATTTTACTATTCTTTCCAAAAATTGACACATAATGTGTGTCATAAAATCTTCGGTATGATTGCAAAGATAATAATATCAGTGATATATAAACGTTTGTTGCAGAAGCTGAAAATAAGTTTATTTAGTAACTCTCCACATATTCAGCCAAGTTCATTCAGAAATGTTTTATGCGTATTAAGAGTAATCCAATTGTATTCAGATGTTTCAAAGTTGTTTTGGGAAAAATATTTTTGACTTTTTATTTCTCCATGATTATAAAAAAAAAGAAAAGTTCCGAAGAAAGAAATTAACTTCATTAAAAACTTACAAATATGCTAGGAATCACACGTTAAAAGGTAAGACCTCGTTAGTCCCTAGCTCGCACAAGTTTCGACTTCTGAGGGTTATCGTTCGTAGGGGTGCGATAGCTGGTTAACGGAAAAAATATATTTTAAACATATTTTTTAAACATGTGTAGATCATGAACAGTAGTTTCCTTCACATACAAAAAGGGGAAAAAAAGTCCACCTGAAACTACTTTCAACCAAATTAATTAAATTAGACAAAAATTTACTTTTTTTACATGGTTACTAGGTACTCAAAACATTCCTAATTTAATTAAAATAGATATCATTGACAGTATAAAATATTTAAGAGCATCGATATGAAATTTCCCTTACATGGAACACAAAAACTCCTAGTGTAGTTCAAAGTTTCGGGCGAAGACACTTGTCTTCATAACTTTAAGATGCACTCATTTCTTTCCTAAAATTACAACTTGTGATTAAATTAACCAACAGCACGGATGTTTTTACGAACTGACGAGAGGAAAAGGGTAAAGAAAGAAATGAGTGCTTTGCCTCTTAAAGACAAGTATCTTTGCCAGAAATTTTGAAGTTCACCAAGAGTTTGTTTTCCGTGAAAGTGTAATTTTTATATCAACTCTTTTCATATATTATGTTGCATCTCATTTCTATGAAAGATATCTGTTTTGATTCCATTACAGATGTTTGAAATATTAATTAAATAATAAAAACGGTAAAACTGGAGCCTCTGGCGTAAAATAAACCAAAAGAAGCACTTTTTTTCAAGAGGTGAAGTATACCGAACAGTGAAACGCGAGTATTGCAGTTCTGTGTTTGGGAAAAGTGTTTTTTAGATTGTGTATGATCTACACTTCTTTGTGAAGTTTTTATTGCTTTCTTCCTTTCTTTTGAAGATTTTTACAATTTTTTGTATAATGATGGAAAAGTATAGAGACAAATAGGTTTTTCCTGTAAACGAATCTAACCTAAAGATATTTCCTTCGCGATATAGATTTGTTTTTCGGTAGTCATTTGTTTGAAATCAGATGAGTGGACTTCTATATCGATAATTTTTCATTTCCTTCTTGTGCACCCCCTTGATATGAGTATCAAATGAAAGAGATTAACAAAGAGAATACGGAAAACAACATAACTTCGCTCAAATAAAAAATGGCGGACCACCCAAGAAGGTGCTCTACCATGATAGCAAACTATTTTTTGTGTAAACTCATGATACGGGTATCAAATGAAAGGGAAAATACAAAAAACATATTTGATGTCACTCTAAATCCTATATGGCCGACCTCTCGAAATGACGGATTAGTTTAGCATGTATCCCCATGATGTGTGTATCAAATAAACGGATTTGCTGAAAAGAATACGAACAGTAACAGGACGTCACTCTGACTGAACTGATATGGTGGATTCCCAAAGATGTTGGCCAATCTTTCCATGCAAGGAAAAAATTCAAAATTACGGAAAACAAGATGGCTGCCATGCTAATTTTGAGTTATCTCGTAACTGCCGAGTTACAATTCGGCCGAGGTTAGGGATGCACACACTAAATGAGCAGAGTAAAGAACATGTTCAGTCATAACTGTAGTCGGTTGGTAGCCAGGCGGTTCGACGTGGGTGCTTTGTTCACTCACTCGAATTGACTGCCGTGTTGGTCGGTGGTTCAAGCCCTAGTCTGAACAACAGATTTTCACTTGCTATCGTCCAACCCGTGTTAGGAATCACACGTTAAAAGGTAAGACCTCATTAATCCTTAGCTCGCACAAGTTTCAACTTCTAAAGGTTATCGTTCATAGGGGTGCGACAGCTGGTTAACGGAAAAACAGACTTTTATTAATTAACATGCTATATTAAATAAAACCCAACAATTTATTGAATTATTCAATTTAAATGGTATAAAAGCTTTTCGCAGATAAATAAGAATGCACTATGTAATTTGATGAGTCAAAAATTACATATATTTTTTTATCAATCTGGCAACAAACTTTTATATCATGTAAATTGTGTAATTTAATAATTCGATTCAAATCGTATTTTCTTCTCTTGAGAGCATGTTGATAAAAGGTTGTTTAGAAAAATATTTTTTACTAATACATCATTTTGATTTATATCAGAGAACCCACGATTAAATTCTCTCAAGGAGTAGAGGAAAATGGCCAACTCTCCTTTTTTGATGTGCTGTTAATGAAATAATTTCTTATTTTGGAACAAGTGTTATAGAAAGGGAATATACTAATTGGTATCTGAATTTTTATCAAATTAGTATCAAGAGATATCATTAAGTGAAAGAGCCTAGCTGATTTCATCCACAACATACATTTTTTTTAAACAAAATTGCCTTCACCAAAAATGTTCTTGCATATAATGATTATTACAAATATTTTGTGAATATAAAATCAATCCAACATTCACAACTGTTGCCATATTATCAATAAGTACAACCATTAGCACATTTACAAGATTCAGTTTCTTTAAATGTGATACCTTACTTTCCTGGCTTGCTGAAAAGATAACACAAATTAGTTTTAAAATCAATATCTGCACGGTAAACAAAACTGACGAACAAGAATAATAAATATATATGTGGGAAAACAAGACCTTTTAGACAGGATGCACTTATAGAAACATTTTACTTCAAGGTTCTGAAAATGGGGTCAGGGGTGTTTTCCAAAATATAATTTTCATTTCTACTTCAAATTTTTTGTGAACATACGCAAAATTTATAAAAAATATTCTGCTAAAAAGTTAGTAAATTGGTAAAATCATCATCTATACTTACAGTAAGCTATTCTATCGGAGCCACAAGTGATAAGTAAGAAATTTGATAACCTTTCTGCGGGTTCTCTGTTGAAAATGTATACTGAAGTTGCTTCATATAATGCATATGTGCATACAAGTACAGCAACCCGATAAAACTGCTTAAAAGATGATTTGGGTATTTCGATGATACCCTGTACATTTTCTTTGCAAGCAAATTTTCCATAACGAAAATTTTTTTTCAAGAAAGTAGGCAAATTTTTTTCAAAAAAGTTGATGACACTTGAATATATGATAACCGTGGTAGTGAAGATTGAAAACGTAAGCAAAATTAAATTCATTTTCTAGTTTCTCAATATATCATCAGAAACCCAATGTTTCACTTAAACAATTCACATATACACACTACTTTGCTATTTCACTCCAGTAGTCTACTAATTTATTTCAATTCACAGCAATATAAAAACATTTTACTTTCTCTCTTATCCCCCACAACCTTATCTTCAACTTTCTCGAAAAAAATTTAAAGGAAGATAGACACTGTATTTGTGTATTCAGCATCATTATCAAAATATGTTTTCAATATACATGTTGCATTTATGTCTTCATTAATTGAAAAATATTGCTTTTATCGAAACGTATTGAATAAAATATCGTTCAAGCGGAGTACATGCAAAACAAAGGTGAAGGGTAAAGTTAAAGGTTAGTAAATCACAGAATAGTAATCGTCATCGACATAACCTTAACCTAGCATTCCCGCTACTGGAAAAATTCAACCAAGATCCAAAATTTTTATGAAAACGTGTCTGCGCATTGCGCAGACACGTGTTTCAGACGTCACAAGGCTACGACCATTTTGTTCATAGGCGTCGTCGACTTGATAGTTATTTTTGAAAAAATGTGAAAATTGTGAATAATAACAGTGCAATTTCCTGAAAAATTGCATTGAGTATTTTCTATTTTGCTAAGAATTGTTCCTATACGACTAATTGGACTATTGTATTGTAGTCTGGAATACATACTTGCTTCTCTATTCGATTGAACAAAATCGAATCCATATTCAATTGTTTGAATCTATTTATGCTAATGTATCATTATCATTTATTTGCAATTATTATTTTAGTATTATTTCTACTGATGATGTTACATCAAGATCTAATTTTATTTGTGTAAGTTGCTATTATGTAAGTTGCTGGTTGCGTGAATAAAGATCAACATGAAAAAGTTGTATGCTTTTTACTTCCTTAGATTGTAGTTTGCAAAAAAACAATATATCTATAATCATTTGCAATGAACAACATACTTGGTCAAATCGTGAGTTGTAGTTTATGAAATTACTATGGATCTTCATCAACTAACGGCCGAATCAATCAGAAAATAAATTAATGGATGTAGCCGTTACTACGTGGTAGGAAATCATAATGAAAAGAGAAATGAAAATTTCTGTTTTTTACCACTTTCATTTGTAACTAACGTTACTGCAGTTTTATCCTATACGGACATTTTCAAATTTTTAAAAGTTTTATTTGTAACTAACGTTTCTGCAGTTTCGTCCTATACGGACATTTTCAAACTTTTTGAAAGTTTGAAAACTTTTTGAAAGTTTGAAAATGTTTGTATAGGACGAAACTTCAGTAACGTTAGTTACAAATAAAAGTGGTAAAAATCATTGGAATTTTCATTTCTTTTTTTATTTTAATCACAAAATACTTATTTTTACCTTTATGTATATTTCACCTGATATCTCTAAAAAATATAGCTGAAAAACTTCTTAAAAACAAAGCATTTACTGGCTAGTACTGAGAAGAAATCGATGATTCATCTTCAGTTCAATTTGCATCATCGAATGTTCAGAAGAATTCCAATTGCTATATCATATTTTTTACACGAAATTTGTTATCTCCGTTCTAAAACTCATCAGTCATCTTTAGTTATTTATTGTTATTTATGGTATTTTCATACCAAACGCCATTATTTTTGAAGTTCTTCTGCAAGTGCACCTTGTTAACTTTACGCCAAACCTCAGTAGAAGCATGGGATATTCACGGCGAACCGTCAACCATGAAAAGAGTCGTTCCCCAATACGACAGATAAAATTCTCAAGAGAACAATGTCTGACGCTTCAGTTAGGGCATCGAACTCACGATCACATAAGCTTTTAGTTGAATACAAATTAATGGAATATTTTAAAAATTGATATTTTTCATATTCGGTACCTAAATTAGACCCAGTCCCTCTTTCCTGTGATACGCCCATGTGATTTGAAAACGTCATGAAACTTAATTGCGCATGCCTTGAAGGCTCAGTGAAATTTCGTAAATGGATGAAGTTGTGTTGTATTATATGGGATTAGCGCAGTATAGGATTAAGGTTATGTCGATGGTATCTGTGTCAGAAAGGATAAAAGTATGCATCCGCCAGATACGTCTATTGGACATATTGGAACTAAGCCAGACGATAAAACACAGGTAATATTTCAATCCTGTGAATGACATCTGATTCATTTCAATAACGAATGTTAGGAATACAAACTGAATCAATAATTCTATGTTCATATGAAAGTAGTTGTCTCGAAAGTATTTTTTCTTTTGTGTAAATGAATGATTATATGAAAGCAGTTGTTTCGCAAGTGCGTTTTCTTCCAGTTTGTGTCTGAGAATTACTTCTTTACATAAACTTCACATCTTTGTATAGAGTTCACTTTGAAATCAATGGACGATTCCAGTACCCTTATATTCAGTGTTGCCACTAAAAAAATTTCGGGTCTAAATCGACTGACATTTTCTAGGCCTTTTTTGGAATGATTCAAAGTCGGAACAGATAAAATTTGTAATTTTATGGATACATGGATGTTCCCGGATATATGAATCGTAGTATTAAAGTTGATATGAATAAAAATAAAAAATACTAGGGAACCTTGAATTTGTACGTTGTTTAATAGTGGTAATTCTGTCATTAGTTGGCATTAGTTGTGTTGTTAGTTGTTGTTTTTCAGTTGGGTATCTGCCACACGTACCTACAAAGTCGTAGGTCTGAATGACAGGAAAGGGGCAACCTTGAGCATGTCATAATGCATGAAAGGTCAAGTTTATTCGACTGGCTATAGGTATATATATATATATATATATATCTTCAATTTGTTGACAAACTAATTCGTTTACAATAGTAAATACATTGTCACATTATAAATAAAATAATATCAATATGAAAAAATACAAACATTCTGATTAAAAATACAAATGTATAAATAAAAAGTTACATAAGAAAGTCATA